TGCCCCCCCAAAAAAAAACATGCTTCAAATCGCTTTAAACTATTGTCATTGTAGTGCGTATTTAATGTGGCGCTGCACTCTGATGTTGTAGGAGTGTTGTCATAACAATTAGTGTTATAACAATTCTATATTTATTTAAAGTTGCGCATTTTGATGTGACGTCACATTTCTCACCCCCCCCCCCCTCGTCACACATCGTCATAAATGTCTGACCCCCCCCCCCTAGGTGCGTGACGTCATTTATGGACGGCCCCTTTATCTTAGTATTAAAGGCAGCTAATGAGTCGGCTCTTCCCAATATCCAAGAGAAGAGCCGTTTCACTCGTGCAGGGCTACTCAATGGAAGTATTTTCCTCCCCCACTTGATGTGCACACAGATATTGCCCTTACATGTGGAGAGACGTTCAGAGTCTAATCTTCGGTGATGAGTGAACTTTAAAGGTTCCAGGACAAGGTCTTACGCAGGCCATCATCTTCTCCGGGGGGTCAGTAAAGTGACGTCTACCACCTTGTGAAAATTCTACCGTGATTTTCTTACGGATAGACTCGTTCATCCACGTCATAAGAATATGGAATTTCAACCGCTTGCCTGTTCAAAAGGGCCGTCAAACGGGAGATAACTGCTGCCCCAATGTTCATTTGACCAGGACGCCTCAACAGCAGCCAACATTTAACCCTACATACTGGGCGATGTCACCATGATGCTCGTGCGAGGCGAGTTACAATTCGAAGCCACTCTCAGGTCACGGGATGGACCCCCGGCGTCTACGGGCTCACTCGCTGAGACGTCTGGCAGGTTACAACCTCATCGCTGGGTTGTATCCGCTCGGCACCGCTCGTTGTCGCGAGAGTCGCCCCTCCGCCTCCTGCTGCTTCTGTCGTCGTCGTCATCGTCATCGCTGCAGCTGTCGTCATCGTCGTCCTCGTCGTCGTCATTGTCGTCTTCATCATCGTCATCATCGTGGTCGTCCTCGTCATCATTGTCGTCATCATCGTCGTCATCGTCGTCGTCGTCATCGCCGCTACCGTCGTCACCAGTAGTCGTTCCGCGTCCGTCACGGACCATTGCGCAACGCGGTTCCTGTGACCCGCACGCGCGTGCACCGACACCGTAACAGCCGCCAGTCGCCACCAATTAAACGGTGACGTCACCACGGCGTCTGTGCCAGGCTAGGTGCACTTTGAGGCCACGTGAAGCGTCGAAGGCTCGCTGACAGGGAGGTCTCGGGACAGACCCAACAGGTGCCATGGGTTGGCTGACTGAGATGACCTGGTAGATGCACCCAGCTGTACCCCTACTGTGCCAACTTGATGCATTGTATCCGCCCGGCGCTCTGCTCATTGTTGTGAGCGTCGCTCCTCTGCCCTCCGTTGCTGTTGGAGAGCGACTGCCTCCAACTGCCCACGAGTATTACACGAGCCTCTCTCACATGGGCCGATCTGTTGACACCGCTAGTTTCAGTCATTAGTTTAGGAAGTCATTGAACTTCAGTGATATATTTTCATACTGTATAGACAAATGACGAGTGTCTGGTCTTCCTCGGTGCACCGCAGTCGGCAATAACGTTACTAAATTAATTTCGTCGGTGTCATCATTCGGACGAATTAATTTTGTCTTGGTAGATATCCACGCCATTATATTTGATGGGTATAGTTTTAGTCATCGTGATACTCTTTTTTTCTCGTGGTTAACTAAAACCGAACCCCCCCCTCCCCACCACCACTTTGCTGATGAACATTTCCATCAATAATTTCGTGAACGAAGTAAACACTCCTTGTGTGTGTGTGGGAGGGACGACGATAGTCGGAAACACGCGGTCCACTGAAGCAATCTCCATCTCTGGCAAAAGGCGTCACTTCCGATGGCGCGACCAGCGAAGCCACACCGTGAGGGTGCCCGGGCGAAATGGATGGGTTTTCATTTTGGTGCAATTTTTTTGTTTTATCTTAGCAAGAGACCACAAATCCACTTAGGGCCCCACAAAGCACGACCACAAACTGCTGAGCTCGGGCCAACAGCGAGGGCAGCGACGCGGTCGCCGGCGGCGGGGGAGGGCGGGGGTCTTTGTTGGGGGCCAAGTTAAAATGATTGGAACGAAAACGCCGAGATGGAAATGAGATGACGAAAAGGGGGGTGGTGGTGGTTTTGGGGCTCGAGAATTGAATTCCGCGCGCGTGTATTTTTGGAAGGCTGCTCCATCTGGCCAGCCCTGCCGCGACACCGCCAAGCGTTGCCCGCATCCCGCCCGTTAAAAGCGACCCGTCCGAGTGAACGGATCCCTTCATTTGACTCGAGGCGCTGGGCACATCGATTTGTTATTTTTTGTGCGCCGCGTTTGAGGGAGCTGATTAACGCGGCGAGATTAAAGCAGCCCGCAGTCGCACCGCCCGTGTAACAATGAAGCAAATTGAACGGAACCTCCGTTCCAGAGAGGGAGCAGGGGGGGCAAAACAACAACAATAACAGCTTTTGAATACATAAATAACCTCTTTAATTAACATTGTCATCTAAAATACGTTGTAAAATAACTTGGCACGCAGCGCAAGGAGCCGTTAAAACACTAATACGGCACATGTGCTCCATTGCGAATTAGCCAGATTACGATGTCCCACGTCTTGGGAGAGTTCGTGAATGTTCTCTTCCTTTCTCTTAGTAATAAACAGATCATCATCATCATCGCCGTAGTGGGCGTCATTCACAACTCGTAATATGAAGCGACCTGTTTAATTGGCTCTCGCATCACGTGCTTTAAAAAGCACCCGACAAAAAAAATCAAACGCGTTGTTTAAAGTCAGAATGTTTTTTTTATATTGTCCACCACCCAGCCAGTCAGTATACGTGCGCTCACCACAGTCACAACGTTCAGCTAAGCCACGTGAGGTTGGGGAAAAAATAAAGTGTGGGTATACTGCCACGCAATACATGGCAGTCAAAGGAGCGAACATGCCGGAGAGAATGTCCACCGTGATGTTTTAAGTGCCATGAGTGTGGCTTGGGGGGGGGGGCGGGCGGATGAGAAGGGGCGGGGCGCTGTGGTCTTCATGGAGGGGGGGGGCTGATATAAAAGATTGAGGACTACCGGTTTCAGCAATCAGCAATGAGTACAACGTTAGACGTTGTAAAAACCACATACGTGATGGAATAACATTGACCACGGTGATAAGTGGGTTCTTTTTTATTTCACATTTTAAACGATGATGTTAATCATGGACCGATGGTTAGGGCATCACTGGCAGCAAAGCAGGTCGACAAAAGGACACACTGACAGACAGTGAAACACAATCAACTAGAGTTAGACAACCATCATCAAATCCACTTCATATTTAAAACCATGTATCTTACATCGATGCGGCCTGAGGCAGGAAATTCCCCCATCCCCGGGTGGCAACTGCCCGCGTGAGACGCAGGGCGATCACAGCATCATCGGCCAGGACGTTCTGTAGCTACTTGGCTTTCCAAGTTAAGCAACGTGCGAGTCATTCATCACATTTTGACCATCGAATCGGCACACATGGCCTACTCGTTATGGGTGCCGTGGTGGCGAGATGTTAACTACCTTGCCTGGTATACAGGAGGTCGTGGGTTCGATCCCGATAGCAACCCTGACACATGCTGTATATTTGGAGTTTACATCTTCTCCCCATGGTCGCGTGGATTTTTCCCCGGGATCTCCGGTTTTTCCCTCCACATTTAGAAACATGCGTTTAGAGCAATTGGCTGCTATAAATTCCCACGTGATAAGCCACTTCATTGGCGTATGATTTGTGGCCAGGTCGCTTCTGAAAAAAGTTATATAGCTCAATGGGCCTCACCTGGTAAAATAAAAAAAGAATAGTTTTAATAGTAAAAAAAACATCACCGGTTCTTCAATGTCTGCTGTGTAGCAATGCATTTTCTTACGTAATAACACACCTACAGTATTTAACCGCGAATATCTGCAACTTGATACAAATCATCTGGAATGCTACAACACCTAATCACATACATTCGTTTTGTCATGAACTATTAGATCAATTTCAGAAGCGACCTGCTCACATTATAGTTCAACGAAGTGTCGTTTATTATCATGTGTGGAATTTTATAGTCCCCAACAAATAATAACAAATATTTTTTCTAAATGTGGTGGGCAAAACCGGGGAATCCCGGAAAAAAAAACATTAACGCGACCACCACGGGGAGAGAAAACACGAAATGCAAAATGCACAACAGGTATCGTCAAGGTCCGGGATTGAACCAAGGACTTCTTGCTTACCAGGCAAGAGAGATAACATCTCCTCGCCGCCAGTGCCATCCTACCAGCAAATTCATAAAACCTTTAGCCCTAAAATCTCGCGTAAGTTTGGTGGTTTTATGGTACGCTTGTAAACTAACAAGCACCTTTGATCCATCCGTGGAGCAAATGTTCACGCTCACCCCAACACTTCAAGGGGAAAATATCCATGAAAGCAAATGGCATGGACGTTGGAATGATGAGCAGGACTTGTGAAGAAGGTACATGCTAGATCAGAAAGAAATGTTCGTGATGCACAGAGATGGTATATTACAGACTGCCAACTGAACATGCGAAACACACCGATATAAATAAACGCAAAAAATATTTTTTTTTGTTAAAGCATGTTTGCAGCACGCTTTGTTAATCCAACGCTGGAAGGACGGTCTCCCTGTTCTATCGGTGCTCGGGAGTTATTTTTGTCCATACTTCACCACGAGCAGCCAGTGCGAGTTGGTGAATGGGTTGTCTAGGATCGAACAACCCCGGTCAGAAAATCTTTGCTGGGTGCGTCAAAATCGGTGCTCGTGATGTCGCAACAGTCGGAAGACGATCGTTTATGAGCGGCTGAACACGAAGCTTCGCAGTCTGCTGCCATACAGCAGCACCCAGCCTGATGACGATTGGTTGCTTTAAGTTCCAAAGGTAAAGATTTGACTCCTCGTGCCCTAGACTTGGGTCGGACGGTTAATCGATTTAACGGACCCAAATCAGTGGTCAATATTGACCTTTTTTTGTTGTTGCAAGTCTCAGAAAACTGAATGAACCTTCGAATCGCGTGAAACTTGATGACAGGGTCAAATCAAGACTGAACAGATTTGACGGTTCAATTATTATATATTTAAATATTTCAGACTGCTTTATGAGAACCGGTGTGTTATGCTGCACCGGTGCACCGCCAATTACATCAATTCACCGTCGATCCATCGTTAACAACCCTTCGGCATAAAAACGCATACTTTGGCGCCGTTTGGACGGGAGGGATACGTGCGCTCTCCCGAACGCGACCACAGCAGCTCCTGCCGCCATGACAAATTCAAAAACAGAGACTACCTGCATATAAACCAGGGGGCACAAATAGGAGGGAATACGGCCTGCCCGAAACAACCGATCGTTAACCGCCCCTCCGTATACCCTCGGCGATCCCGTGTGTTTTTTGTTGTTGCTGCTGCTGCTAACGCAGCAGGCCGTGGCCGAGCCTTTTGCCGCCACTCCACGTGGGCCGATCAGCCGAGCCCCGTGTCTAATTAGGCCTCCCGCGACCTTTTAGGGTTCCCAAGAGGTGGAAACCGAAGACGGATCGGAAACACATTTTTTGTGTGTGTTAGGGCCTGTGTTGACATTTGCCTCGGCGCGTTTGACTGACTGATGGTCAAGCCGAGGAGGCACGCCCCGAGCAAGGCAAATGCTGGACGAATGTGGGGTTTGTTTTTGGGAGGCGGGCGAGGCAGGGGGAGATGGGGGGCGGGGGTGGCGAACCAGGGTTGCTTTGTTCAGTTTGGTTACCGGTGACGTCAGCGGTGACGTCTGCTGTTGTCAGTTCCGCCCCCCCCATGAGTTGTCGAGTTTGTAACCGCGTGCTGTGCGGCACGATGTCCGTCGTTTCGATCGACGGCCTTGGGGGGTGGGGGAAGCTTATTGAATAACTTTTTCAGTTGTTCAGAAACGTCGGACATCATGCCGAACAGCAAGTGGGGTGCAGTTCGGTGAGCGCATCGGAAATGTATTCAGCGCTCCCGCAAAAAAAACCTAGCATCCTAATGCAAATTTATTTACAGCGAATGGAAAATACTCAAAGGTCCGCACTTGTTCATGAAACTCGCTGCTGTATGTGGCCCAGCGGGTTTTGAAGTTTCAAACATCTGTGTGATCTACCTACCCTTGCCTCCACTCAAAGGTGGCTGGATCACAGGCATGCGCCAACACGCCCGCCTTGTCTCTTCCACAACTTCGCCGACCTTTCCTGCTGACGAGTCTGGATGGAAACAGATTCATCAACAAAGGCCAAGACGCTGACAAGAAGATGGATGACACTGCAGAATAAAATAATAATATAAATCGGTTAAACTCCTGCGTGTGAGCGTGCTGCAACGCCTCTACTAATTTCAACGTGTTCTGTGAGCTATAATTCACTCCAGCACTTAAACGCGGAGCACGTCGCATGCGTTTTGTGGAGGTGGCTCTGAAGGGTAATAATGCAATGTCAGAACCATGGAGCGGGCTCCTGTGAGGTCCTTGGGTTTTTCGGCACGTGTAATTAAAACCAAACTCTTGAGTTGATATTGTCTTGAGCTCAGTCATCGATGACTGCACAAAAAAGCATCACATTACATAGAGAGCTTGTCACTTATTTCGGCGTATTCCGGCTCTGAGATTTACAATTTCAGTTTGACAGATGCTCGACGTGTTCCCTTGGCGTTGATTTAAAGACTTCAAAAGTAGTTCCGTGATTGCCAGCTTCTGGGGCACTTCACTTGACACTGCTCGGCAAAGGAGTTTCTCAACGGAGAATGTTTATCATATTACGATGTTGAATGCCACTCATTAAAGTACCAATGGTCATTCTACAATTGAAAACTGATTTTTTTAAATCTAAAAATCCAAAACGTCAATAACTAGCAGCGCAGTAATGAACCCCGCGGTCTGGATTTCATTACCGACCATGGATGGCGAGTGATGTCTGGACGGATCCTGGTCCTCACCTTCACTAAACCCCACTCGCCGGATATGATGAGAGTTGTCAAACACCCACCGTGACCGACATTGGCATTCATTGCACGGCCTGGATTCATCATGGGCTGCTAATATTAAATAATGCCTATAATGCAGCTATGATAGCACTGTAGAGAGGGCACCTATGGAACAGTGATGTACACGAGATGCCAAAATGCAACACAGGATAGACCACGAGCCTCAGTCTATCCACTGCTGGATTGAAGGCCTTCCTGCGCCGTCGCCATCCTGCTATGCCACAATCTATCGAACTCCAGCACATAAGGCGATCTCACCGCTCAATCTCTGCGATGTGCGTCCCCTCTCCGAGCACATTCTCTCCTTTGGCTGCCAATCCATCTCTCGCCTCGTCCATTGGTCGTCATTCATTTTCGCGACGTGTGCTGCTCAAGCCCATTTACTTTTCTGGACAATCATGGAACGTGCGTCTAACGCGTCTCCCATGATCCATCCGTGTGCCCCTCTTCCTCTTAGTGGAAATTCTGGTCGTAGCATCTCTCCATCTTACTTTGTGGATTTCTCGACATGAAACAACGCAGCCCGAAAGACTGCTCGAATGCCCTGGTATTTACGCCGAACTTGCCCGGTGCCAGGCATCCCCCCCATGCCCCCTACTCTTGTCTCAAGCCACCGTTGGACAACCTCACGCCACCCGCTGGCCAAACGGACGTATGGCCATTTTTGAATACACGAGCTGGGAAGCAGAGCCGCAGTGATTATTCATTGGAATCGATTAATCGACTGCTCCCTTTTGAGGTTGGTTACTCGGGTCCCGTTAAAATTCGTGGTCCACCTCGACATCCTGCCTCCTGAAGGTGGGGAAAACCCCTACAGGCCACGCCTACCGCGGGGCAACTGGCGATTGGGACAATGATGATCGAATGCGTAAATCACGTGCAAAATTGTACAATATATATTTTGTTTTAACAGAGTATTTTGTTACGTCGAAAGCTTCGTCACATTATTTCGTTTAAAATGAAAACTCATCGGAACAAAATAATTCACGTTACAATGAATGCGTCAGCGATGCACACACAACACAACATGTGCATCGTGCGATGAAATAGCTAATAAAAAACATGCCTGGTCACCACATCTACGCCTCTATATAAGGAACGAAACAGGTGGACTTCTCCACAAATGTGGCTGTCGCCTGATGAAGCTAGTTGTAATTACTGGCGAAACGTCGTTCTCAGATGGTAAATGTTGTGGCTTGGCTCTCCAAAACACCGGTGTGCTGTACGTGTCGGGTGGTGGTGGGTTTAATGACACATTTATATATTTACACGATCTAACCCAAAAATTTAAACCTCTTATCCTTGAATAGTTTAGTTAAAGTCACGTGATGCATGACGAGTGACGTCGTGAGTTGACATCATGCGACGCCGTCAGGCTCACTCTACGACGTCACGCGACGACGCAGAGGTCACGCGACGGCACCGAGGTCACGTGACGGTGCCGAGGTCACGCGACGGCGCTCGGCTCACGTGACGCCGCAGAGACCACGCGACGGCACCGCGGTGAATCATGCCAGCACTGGTTTTAAGCGCCAGGTTTTGGGCATTCGTTTCATCGATTTGGCCAGTTTTCTAGAGGGAACGTCCCGAATAGGAACACAACTTTATTCCAACATTCTGTTTGTGTTGGTTCGCCTGTCAGAGTTATCATGACAACTCCCCCTCCCCTCCTCCCAACCCCACCCAGTCACCTCCCTATCGGACGGACAAATCTCATGTGTTCATGAAAAGCGTTGGGGGGAAAAAAAAAAAGACCAAAACACCGAACACCAAACTTAATATGATGGGATTTTTGTGCCATCTAAATGCCACGCACACAGAAAGCAATGCTGAACATGAGATGGGTACCGGCGTTAACAGATCAGACGGGCAGAGGTAAAATTACATCCAGCAGTCACAACTTATCGTGTAAAGACCACAGGCTGATGGGCATCGGCAGCTTATTTTCTGTTTTCCCTTTTTGACTCCCCCCCCCGCCCCCATAATTTATTTTATTGCTATGCTTGTTTACCCAGGAAAACCTCACCGAGTCTCAAGGCCCGTTTTCTCGAGGGTCCCGTCAAGTTTTCGCTTAAGGAGGTCCCCCCCCCTCCCACCGAACGATCACCCTGCATAATCCCATCGAGTCATTCGCGGGTCATTTTAAAAAATTGGACAGCGACGCCGGCACGTGGTCGGCTTACTTCTTGCAAAAAAATATACATTGCGGGACCTTCAACGCTTGCCACAAAAAGCAGATGCGCGCGTAGGTTTACGGTTAATACGCGCGCAGTAATAACCAAATAAAATAAACATACATTTAATGCGATGGGTTTTTTTTTTGCGTGCAATCATTGGTGACTGGACCGAGCCCATCGGTTTACCTGCAGTAAGGATGACTTACTCAGCCCTGGTAGCATTCTCATAAGCAGGTGCCCAGATTCAAACCCAGGAGTTCAGCAATGGCAGTCCAGCAACCGACTTCTGCGACAACCAGCCATCTTTATAAACAACGTATGCACTCGGATAAGCTTTTTTTTTCAAAACGGAAAATTTACAACTAAAACTGTGACATTCCAGGGCTAACTTTAACCTGTAATGATAACCAAGGTGCAAGTTGGCTGCAGAACAATTAGATCTCGGATACTATTAAAAAACGCAATGGTTTTTATTTACCTTGGTAAGGCTATGTTGCTCTTTTTCAGAAGCGACCAGACTACAAATGATAGCTCAACGAAGTGGAAAGTTCGAGCAGGCAAATACTCTAAAAGCATGCTTCTAAGATGTGGAAGCGAAAAACCGGACGACCCAGAGAAAAATCCACACGACCAAGGAGAGAACATGCAAACTCCTGCCTACCAGGTGAGGCAGATAATATCTCGCCACCAGTTAGCTCCGGAATTGCAACATCAGCCAGAGTGGCAAGGCGAAAATCCGTGATTAAACTGGTTTCCCGTGAGCCGTAAAACAACACGAAATTTTTGTTGTTATTTCCAAAGTGTTCAGCGTTTCAAAGAATATTGGTTCGACTGCTCTGGGATGAGCACCATGGTGGCGAGATGTTAACTGCTTCGCCTGGTATACAGGATGTTGTGGGTTCAATCCCGAACCTGACGCCTGTATATTTGGAGTTTGCATTCTCCCCGTGGTCACGTGGATTTTTGTCCAGGTCCTCCGGCTTTTCCCTCCACATTTAGATACATGGGTTTAGAGTATTCGACTACTATACAATTCCACATGATGATAACCCACTTCGTCGAGCGATCATTTGTGGCCAGGTCGCTTCTGAAGAGCTATACAGCTCAGTGAAACGGTTTAGTTCATAGCTCAGTTTTGGCAGGGGAGGTTAACGGGCGTGCGTCGCCTTGTGCGTAGAGACGGCAGCTGGAAAGAGTGACGGTGTGACCTGGACAAGCGGTGGCTGCGTTTGCCGATTGCTGCGGAACCATTTGCGGTTCGAAGCACGTGCGGCCGACCTGGTTAATAAAACCCCGCAGGGTTAACAACCCGGGTTAGGCGCCGTCTGCTCCACTAGCGGGCCCGTTAAAGATCTCGTGACGTCACCCGAGGAGGATTTGGGGGCCTAATTCGTGACGCAAGTTGGAGGATAAGACCCAAAATATATTCAAGCGCAGCCCAAACGTGCGAAACACACTCGGATCACAACGCGATCAAAGATGGACTGCAGACCAACGAATGAAGGTGCACAAAAATGGATCAGTGACGTTGGCAGAGCAGTAGTATAATGTTAAAATCTGATTTAAAAATCTTATGGTTTTAACACTATGACCATAGCCCATAACGATTTAACCCCCCCACCCCCACCTCTCGAGATTCCGTCTAAGAATCGATTCATTCTGACATTGTGGTGCATGGAGCGCCTCCACAGTGGCTGTGGAGTTCACGCAAACCAGTTCCATGGCAACAAACATGCACGCAAATCGAGCAGCGCTCAATACGCACGCAGACAAATCAACACGCACCCCTTCTCCCGCGTAATAATCGATTTTAAATCGATGAAGCGTACTGCTCCTGTAAAAATGGCGTCTGCATTTATTTTCTTATTGAAGCGTTTTAGGGAGGGGGTGGTGGAGAACGGGGGGGGGGGAGCGTGGGGGGCAGAGGGGGGGGGGGGGATCAACTGGGCCTCTCTCCGCTCGCACAGTTTCAGTCGCTCGGGTCCTGGCAGTCGGTGCAATTTTGCATCTCGTCCATGTAGCGCTCCACCTGGATGGTCGTCGTGTAGAAGCCAAACTTCTTGTGCAGCGCGATCGTCGCTTCGCTCAACACGAGGTGAGGGTCGACAGACTCCTCTGGAAACACACACGGGGGGGTGCGGGGGGGGGTGCGGCGGGATGGGGGCAGTCAGAAATGAGGTCCCGTGAACCACTTTTGCACTCGTTTTTCCCGCTGGCTAATTGCCGAAGCGAGCTCGAACCAAGCAGTGATACTCTACATGTACCTATGTTGAACTTATTTCGCACCGTACGTAGCCAACCGCGGTAAAAATCAGAGGTGCGGGGGAAGGGCAACATTCAATATAAAAAAAGGCGGTTAAGGAAATTAGTTTTCAATCTATACAATTGGCTGGCCTCAAGACTTAACGAAACGAGACTATCAAATCTGGATCGGGGGGGGGGGGCAAACAGGGCCAGGGTCAATGATGCTTTTGTTGTGCGCGATGCGAGTCAGTATGGCGCCTGGACTTGTCCCTTTTGCATGTGACGTCAGCAGCACGGGGTTCTGCAGTAGCGGGGGAAAGAACACACTACAGGAGCCCTGCCAGGCGAGCCATGTACGGCTGTGGCACGTCTCTTGGTTGTGCAGTGGGGAAAACAAACGTAGTCGGGATATCTCTCTGTTATAAGGAAAGTTCAAAACTCTAAATATTTTCAACATGCCTCTGTCCTCAGGAACGTTCAGCTAGCACAAAGTTCACCTTCCAAGCCGCAGAACAAAATTTAGTTTTTGAAGCCAACCATGCTGGCGAGATGGTAACTACCTTGCCTGGAATGCAGGAGGTGTTTGGGTTCAATCCTGACCCTGACGCCTGTATATTTGGAGTTTGCATATTGCTCTCCCACTGGTCACGTGAATTTTTCTCCGGGTCCTCCTATTTTTCCTCCATATTTAGAACCAACGCGTGTTTAGAGTATTTGGCTGTGAAAAATTTCCACGTGATGATAAGCCACTTCGTCGAGCTATCATTCGTGGCCAGGTCACTTATAAAAAAAGAGCCGTATAGCTCAGTGGGCCTTACCTGATCAAATAAAAAAAATAGTTTAGTTTAAGTCGCGTGATGTATGACGGCGCCACGCGACGACGCCGAGGTCACGCGAAGATGCAGAGGTCACGCGACGACGCAGAGGTGAATACTTTTAGCACTGTTTCTGAGCCACAGGTTTTGGGCATTCGTTTAATCGATTTGGCCAGTTTTCTAGAGGGAACGTCCCGAATAGGAACACAACTTTATTCCAACATTCTGTTCGTGTTGGCTCGTCTGTACATGAGTTATGACAACCGCCCTCCCCCCAACCCCACCCAGCCACCCCCGTATCAGACAGATAAAGCTCATGCGTTCACGCCATCGGCCTTATGTGAAAAGCTTTGGGGGAAAAAAATAATCAAAACACCGAGCAACAAACTTAATATGATGGGATTTTTGTGCCGTCTAAATGCGACGCACACGGAAAGCAATGCTGAATATGAGATGGGCACTGGAGTTAACAGATCAGACGGGCAGAGGTAAAATTACATCCAGCAGTCACAACTCATCGTGTAAAGAGCACAGGCTGATGGGCATTTGGCAGCTTATTTTCTGTTTTCCCTTGTCGACTCCCCCCCCCCGCCTCCATCATTTATTTTATTGCTATGCTTGTTTACCCAGGAAAACCTCACCGAGTCTCAAGGCCCGTTTTCACGAGGGTCCCATCAAGTTTTCGCTTAAGGAGGTCCCCCCCCCCTCCCACCGAACGATCACCCTGCATAATCCCATCGAGTCATTCGCGGGTCATTTTAAAAAATTTTGACAGCAACACCGGCACGCGGTTGGCTCACTCCTTGCAAAAAAATATACATTGCGGAACCTTCAACGCTTGCCACAAAAAGCAGATGCGCGCGTAGGTTTACGGTTAATACGCGCGCAGTAATAACCAAATAAAATAAACATACATTTAATGCGATGGGTTTTTTTTTGCGTGCAATCATTGGTGACTGGACCGAGCCCATCGGTTTACCTGCAGTAAGGATGACTTACTCAGCCCTGATAGCATTCTCATAAGCAGGTGCCCAGATTCGAACCCAGGAGTTCAGCAATGGCAGTCCAGCAACCGACTTCTGCGACAACCAGCCATCTTTATAAACAACGTATGCACTCGGATAAGCTTATTTTTCAAAACGGAAAATTTACAACTAAAACTGTGACATTCCAGGGCTAACTTTAACCTGTAATGATAACCAAGGTGCAAGTTGGCTGCCACGAAGCGGACGTGTCCGTAGGTTTACGGTTAATACATGCGCAGTAATGACCAAATAACATATTCGGTGACAGGATTGAGCCCATTGGTTTACCTGGAGTAAGGATGACTAACTCAGCCCCGGCAGCAGACTCGCCATAAGCAGCTGCCCAGATTTGAACCCAGGAGCTCAGCAATGGCAGTCCAGCAACAGACTTCTGACCGAAATTAGCAACCACTCACCAAGCCAATGTGCAGCCTAAAGACGGTTCAAATATAAAGGAGGTCTCCAATTGGTGGAACGAGGCCTCCATGTTGATTGGTCTGGAGGCAGACTTTTAAAGTGATTGGAGGAATATATTTTATATAGATTAGGCGGGAAAAAGATAGGATCCCAGTTCCGTTAGAGGGGAAGGACAGGGATTGGCTTGGAGAAAAACAGTGACGGAAGATTCGAGAAAGGGAGAGCACCAGGGGAGGGGACGTTTCAAGGAAGATACGAGCCGAAGACAAGATCACAGCCTCGTGCTGACGACAAGATCACAGCCTCGTGCTGACGACAAGATCACAGCCTCGTGCTGAAGACAAGATCACAGCCTCGTGCTGAAGACAAGATCACAGCCTCGTGCTGAAGACAAGATCACAGCCTCGTGCTGAAGACAAGATCACAGCCTCGTGCTGAAGACAAGATCACAGCCTCGTGCTGAAGACAAGATCACAGCCTCGTGCTGAAGACAAGATCACAGCCTCGTGCTGAAGACAAGATCACAGCCTCGTGCTGAAGACAAGATCGCAGCCTCGTGCTGAAGACAAGATCGCAGCCTCGTGCTGAAGACAAGATCACAGCCTCAAGCTGAAGACAAGATCACAGCCTCAAGCTGAAGACAAGATCACAGCCTCGTGCTGAAGACAAGATCACAGCCTCAAGCTGAAGACAAGATCACAGCCTCAAGCTGAAGACAAGATCACAGCCTCGTGCTGAAGACAAGATCACAGCCTCGTGCTGAAGACAAGATCACAGCCTCGTGCTGAAGACAAGATCACAGCCTCAAGCTGAAGACAAGATCACAGCCTCGTGCTGAAGACAAGATCACAGCCTCGTGCTGAAGACAAGATCACAGCCTCAAGCTGAAGACAAGATCACAGCCTCATGCTGAAGACAAGATCACAGCCTCAAGCTGAAGACAAGATCACAGCCTCAAGCTGAAGACAAGATCACAGCCTCAAGCTGAAGACAAGATCACAGCCTCAAGCTGAAGACAAGATCACAGCCTCAAGCTGAAGACAAGATCACAGCCTCAAGCTGAAGACAAGATCACAGCCTCAAGCTGAAGACAAGATCACAGCCTCGTGCTGAAGACAAGATCACAGCCTCAAGCTGAAGACAAGATCACAGCCTCAAGCTGAAGACAAGATCACAGCCTCGAGATCGCAGCCTCGAGTCAAAGACAAGATCGCAGCCTCGGGTCCCGTATTGTGTCGGTGTCCCAATAAAGTGGCTCTCATTGCATCATTGTCAGAGTCGTTACAAACGTATGCACTATACAGGTAGTCCCCCAATTACGATGGTCCGACTTACAATATTTCGATCTTACGATGGCGATTGCGATATGACAAAATTGTAAAATATTTTTTTTTTATTTCGCGCGGCAGGCAAACGCAGCAGCGTACGAGGTACGATACTGTAACTTGATCATCGCCATCCTCCTCTTCCGACAACTAAGTTAATGTAGCCATCAACAACCCTAACATCGTTCAAGTATGCAGACGACGGACAGAATCTTGGCGAGTACAGTAGAATATGATACGTTACGATACGTTCAATGCATGTATGATACATAGCTTTAGCGATTTCATTTTAGGGTTACCACGATACGATACATACGTTCAATGCATGTTAAAAGTTTTTTTATATATATAGGATTGTTTCCTTAAAAAACTATGAAATTGCAGTTCATATAGGTAGGCTAAGAATTTACCTTGTTTTTTACTTTAAATTTTACTGTGCAATACAGTATTGTAATTAATAAATACATACAGTATATAGTTTATACAGTACTGTAAATTGCTCTGTTTTGCTAAATTATCACCATTCATTAAGACTCCTGGGTAGGCTAGGCCATCTCCGACTTACGATATTTTCTACTTACGATGGGGTCGTTGTAACGCATCTCCATTGTAAGTCGGAGACTACCTGTATAAGCCTTTTAAAAAAATTCAAAATTAAAATGTACAACTAAAACTGTAATTTATGTCACGTCTAAAAAGTAACCTCACGGACAGCAGCACTGCCATTCCAGGGCTAACTTTAACCTGTAATAATCAAGGTCCGAGTTGGCTGCAGAATAATTGGTTCTCAGACACCATTAAAAGCTATTTTTATGTTACCTTGGTAAGGCTATGTCGCTCTTTTTCAGAAGCGACCTGGCCACAAATGATAGCTCAACCAAGTGGCTCATCATGTGGACATTCAACGCAGCCGAATATTCTAAATGTGGAAGGGAAAAACCAGAGGACCCGGAAAAAACTCCAAAAACACAGCAGGCGTCGGCGTCGGGATGAAACCCACGACCTCCTGTTTACCAGGCGAGGCGGTTAACATCTCACCACCGTGGCACCCTAGATATAAACATGGATCGGACCGTCTCGGAATCGGACCTGACAGGTTCGGGTCCCATCAGTCTCGATGCTCGCACCGACAACATTGACACAGCGGTCCACACGGAGCGCAGAGCGGTGCTTGCGTATCGCGTCCCCAGGGCCTTGCGCACACACACACCGATTTAGCAGCGATGCAAATGCGTGCGGATATTTACGCACGCGCTCCCGCTGTGTTTTTCTCGGTTGCGAAGGGACCACATTTTTATATTTTTTGGAAAATATTAATTACGTGATGCGTTCGGAAAGTGATACCATGCCCATCAGATGCGCACCTGGCGCTGGCGGGGGTGGTGGGGGGAGGATGAAGGCGGGGGGGGTGAAGTTATAAATAATTAGATGCATTTAATAACCCACGATGCCAACTTCATTTATAAGCGACCTTTTGTGGCTTCGCCAAAAGCAGTGTCTTCATTTCAATTTGCTGCTGGATGCGCCCACTGATCCTCGTACATTTGTTACGCTAGTGGTCACGCGGAGTCTTGTTCTGTTACGTGCGGTCAGCGGGTTTGCTCAAGAGGTCATCGGTTCCCGCGAGGTGCCCAGCCAGCAGGGCAATGATGTAGCCAGGAGATGGCAGTGCAAACAAATAAGCTGCCGACCCTATCTGTATTTTATCCTCTCAAAATCGTTGTGGGTTCTCTCTCTGGGCAAGCCGGTTTATCCTCACATCCAAAACGCTTAAAACAAACATGCAATTGGCCAAACATCCTATTGTCGCCAGACCTTCCTGTAAATTTGTCTGAGACTCCGTGAGGCTTTTCTGGACAGGTGAATTAGCTGCTGTTATTGTGTATCGCAACTTGAGGGTCTGGGCAGGTAAAAGTAAAGAAATCCAAACGAGAGACACCTTCGAACCAAGGCTCTCAGCAAGTGTCTGAACCAGTGTCTCTTATGCAGTATTAGTCCCCCCCTTGAACCCACCCAGTGGATGAGATTTTTACATATTCAAACATTGGGGGGGGAAAAAGGCAAATGCTAAATGGCAACCAGCCATGGGCAGAATGTCGATTTAATGCAAGAATACTCCATGAGGAATTGGCCCAGCATATATACTTGGCTCGAGCGACAACTGAAAAAGACAGTCAACCACCCTCACCAGAAGTGCCGCCTTGGCTGCATAACAATAGTTACGAGGGCCGACGTTCCGGACAACGGTCCCCTTTCTCGCGAGCAGAGGCAGGGGAGGATCCAACGACGAAGTACGGCCGACGAACGCAACTCTTACGCTGGAGTGCGTTGAATAATAATAACAATCTTGATTTGAAGCTTTCGTGACTGCAGGAATCCATACTCTTTGGTTCTTTCAGTGAAGTCACGTGGGTAGAAAATAAAATAAATCACGACGTTTCGGGCGCAACACAAGCGTCCATCATCAGGTGGGAAAGCATGGTCTGCTGCTGAGGCAGACTGTTTTAAAAGGTTTTAAAACAGTCTGACGGACGCTTGTGTTGCGCCCGAAACGTCGGGATTTATTTTATTTTCTACCCACGTGACTTTCCCGAAAGAACCAAAGAGTAATAATAGCAATGACAACGAGTGGAGAATTTTGATGAACGCCATGAAAGTGATGGCTCCGTATTTGTATGGGGGGGACGAGGAGGAAGGGAAACAATAGAAAAACGTTCTATGAGTGCAGTGAGATTGGTGCGGGACCACATGCCTTTTAATTATAAACCTCGTTTTCTAAAGAAAATGTATGTGCAGACATGAGCCCAAATTCGTGGACACCCTGTGTCGTAACCAATCGCTAGTTACTACATCAAGCGTCCCTTTCCCTGTATCTACGCCCGGCAGGGCCAGCCACAATCACCCAACGAGGATGTTCTCCTCTGCTGCTGCGTTGGTACCGCTGTAACATTTTGGAAGCAGCTCTTTGTTCGTGTCTAGCTCCGCTTAATCCACGTGTTCCCCTCCGAAACTAAAAACTATTTCAATAATTAGTAGTCTCTTCACAAGCACTCAATTCGATCTATGAAATCTCTCTCGGGACTAAGAATCTATTTTTTTATTAGAATTATTATTCACGAATCACAGCACCGGAAGATACGCGGCCAACGCACAACCAGGCTGGCGTTGCCACCCGTCGTGGCATTCCCCGGATTGCCCATCTCTCTCCAAGATAGCTCTCGCCTAGTCAATCTGAAAATACTTACTCTGTGCCAGTTATTTCCATTTACATAAGAAGACGTCGCTCAAGACAGTGCATGCACACACGAATTTCTCCCCTCCTCCGGTATCGTGAGCTATTCTTCTTCACCGTAACGCAACCGCAATTTTAGGAAGGGGTTCAGAGAGTCCACCCCAATGCCCCCGCCCCTCCCCCCCAAACTAAAAACGTAACTATTTTTTACTTTACCGGGTAAGGTCTTCTGAGCTATATAGCTCTTTTTCAGAAGCGACCTGGCCACAAATGATAGCTCAATATACCGGCTTATCATCACGTGGAAATTTATAGCAGCAAAACAATCCAAATGCTTGTTGATTCTAAACGTGGAGTAAAAAACCGGAGAGCCTGGAGAAAAAGCCACGTGGAATCAAACCCACGAACTCCTGTATACCAGGCAAGGTAGTTAACATCTCTCTCCCCCCACTCCCCCCTGCCCCTACCCCGCACCATCCCCGAAGTCTCACCGATGGCGATGTGCACAGACAGCACGGGCTGGTTCATGGTGAGGGCCCAGAGGTGCAAGCTGTGCAGATCACGCACTCCGGGCACTGCCAGCAGCGATGCCTTGACCTCGTTAAAGTCAATGCCCTTGGGGGTCCCTGCGTCAGGGGTGATGAGGAACGGAGGGGGGGAAAGGGTGGGGGGGGGGTTGGAGAGAAATGGGAGAAAGTGTAGCAGGTGAGTGTTCAAGAATGCAACACGTGGACAGAGATTTGGCGAGAGACTTGTAATAAAGCCATTCTTTGACAGCCACTTTGTCAATTCACTGCTGGATGAAGGCCTCCCCCCCCCCATCCCTACGCTGTGTCGGTCATGGGCAGTTTTTCTGATCATCCTTCACCACGTTAGTCAGTGTAGCTTGCCAAAGGAGTGGGGCGGGAAAAGGCCCAGGACCAGTTGAGATATTACCTCCCCACCGACGCTAGCCGTGGCCGGAAATCGAACTCGGGTCGCCGGGTTCGTTAGGGCGGTGCGCAAACCCCTTGCGCCACCGCTTTCCACATAGAAGACTTCAAGAGGGCTTTGAAATTAAAAACGTGTTCTTTCTACAATTTCACGTGCTTATTTGGCGGTGTGGGGGGGGGGGGGGGGGGGCGCCGGTTTCAGTAAACAGATCGCACAACATCTCTCCACACATTGTTTGCGCACGGCTCTCATGGTGTGACGTTAGAATTTCTGCCTCTTGAGTTTTCATGTCATTTGTAACCCGGCTATTGAGGGGTAGAGTGATCATTAAAGACACGCGCACGGCTGAGATAAGTGGACCACACAACACCGCGGGGTCCGATTTTAATGTCACCGTAACTGATCCCCGATGCCCAACCGTCACCGGTAAGTTCAATACGGACTGCCAAGAGACTTTTGCCCCAAACGAAGCTGCACTCGCTGGCATCAACGTCGTCCGGACTCTCGGTCTATAACACCGACGACCCAAGTGGTTGCCAATCCAGCTAAACACACGAGCAAATGTTATTTCTGCGACAGCATTGTGATCGCGGGCTTCGAAGAAGAGGCCGCGCTTTTTAGTGCCAACAATAGCGACGTTGTAACGGCACACGGCCTCCAAACACAGTGGCAGCGAAATGTGAGAAATGCGAGCAACTTGTGATAGTGTACCCTACCTACTCCTGCTGGTCAGCCCCTACTGCTGGGTCAGCTCCTACCGCTGGGTCAGATCCTCTGTCAAGCTATTTTGTTCCACCACCCGTGCAGATTAAATGCACCAGCCCCGCAGGGCAGCGTTCATTTTGTCAATGAAATTCATGATGAAAATATTAGTTGGCAAAAGCATTTTCCGTTTGAGTCGACGACAGTTATTGGCGTAGCGACGGCTATAACTCTCTACCAGAGTCTGAGTGAATTCCCCAGACTCGGACTTGACTAGAATCCGATAGGTTTTCGTCAATTTAAATAAAAACAACTACAAAAGTCAGCACACGGGTGAAAGGGCAGGCTTCACGGGGGCACCAGCGCAGCCACATGCACATACGCACAACAACACCGTTCATCACAAAGTAGTGGTGACGTCACCACGCCGCTGGTGCAATGCTAGGTGCACTTTGAGGCCACGCGAAGTGTCAAAAGCCCGCTGGCAGGTGGGTCACAGAACAGACCCAGGTACCATGTCCTGACCAACTGGCAGATTGCACCGCCTGTGCCAAGTTTCTGCGTCTTAGCTGCTCAGCGCTACACGGCCCTCCGTTGTTGTTGGAGGGCGACTGCCTCCAACTCCACCGCGGCATCCTTCACGAACCTCATCCTCAGGAGAGGCCGATCTTAACACTGCTGGTACCTGTCATCGGCAAGTCCAATCAGCTACAAAGACAAAGATCCCCGAGTATAGACTAAACAGACTGTTGGGGAAAGTGCTGTTAGTGAGGACCTATGAAGGCCGGCAGAGCACGAGAAGGTGGGTGACCAGCACCACGCCCGACTGCCTTTGTCTCCCTAGTGGCGATGTTTACACACCGGAACAGGTACTCAATTGAGGCCGCATTAACCTAGGGGAGGGTCCAGGACCGGTTCAGATAATCTATCACTGGTGTTGGCCGTGAGTGGGAATCGAACTCGGGTCGCCGGGTTTGTAGCGCAGTGTTCCGACCGCAACGTTACTGCTCCCCATCAGCTACACACACACGCACACGCACGCACGCACACGCACGGGACGCAAGAGACGCACCTTCCATGAGCACCCTGAGCACGTCCCTCAGGATGCCGATCGTGGTGGCCAGCACGATAACGGAGAAGATGAACGTGCAAATCGGGTCGGCTATCTTCAAGTTTGGCTGTCAAAGCACAAAGACAAAGAAAAAGAACGGCAGTGGCCCCAAAACGCAACCATTGTTTTGATTGAGTGGCGTGCGGTGTACATCATCGTGGGTGGTTTTAAGGCCAGCGATGCAAATTCTATATTCATAGGGCAAGGGCCAGTATAGCCGAGCACCAATGACGGCCGGCACGGCACGCGAGGGGTGGGTGGCCAACACCACGTCCGTCCGCCTTTGTCTCTTTGAGTGGCGACGTTTACACAGAGCGCCAGGTACTCATTTGAGGCCGAGTCGACCTGGGGGAGGCTGAGGACCGGTTCGAATATTCGCCACTGTTATTGATCATGAGTGGGAATCGAACTCGGGTCACCGGGGTCGATTAGTGTGGTGCACACACGCGTTAGCACCACACGCGCACAACAACAAACAACAGCCACCATTAGCCACTAAGTGGCAGTGACGTCACCACGACGCTTGTGCCAGGCCATGTGCACGTTGAGGCCACGTGAAGTGTCGAACGCCCGCTGGCAGGAGGTCACGGGGCATACCCAAGTGCCACGGGTCGACTGACTGGAATGACTGAGACGAGTGGCTGATGCACCACCTGTGCCCCCTACTGTGCCAACTTGCTGTGCTTTAGCCACCCGGCGCTCTGCTCATTGTTGTGAGCGTCGCTCCTCCGCCCTCCATTGTTGTTGGAGGGCGACTGCCTCCAACTGCCCAGTAGCAGCGTCCTTCACGAGCCTCCTCCACAGAGACCGATCTTGACACCGCTGGTACCAGTCATCGGCAAGTCCACTCAGCTCCGCATCCTCCTGTACCACATCACTCCATCTCTTCTCTAGCCCGTGCCGCGCCCGTTTAGCCCCCTCGATCTGGCCGAACAAAGCTGTTTGGGCATGCGGTGGCTGAGCATGCGGGCTACATGACCCAGACAACGTAGCCTTGCCTGCCGGAGGAGCTCGCCGATGGGACTTTGTCCAGATCTTGAGGATTTGTGAGCTCCTCACACAATCCAGCCTTGCCTAAATGTTTCTAACCGGCGAAGATGTTTCATTAGGGGGGTCCACGTTTCGCAAGCATAGAGAAGGGAGGGAATGACTGTGGCCGAGAAGACCCAAAGCTTCGTGCGGAGGGACAGACCAGGTAGCTTCCACACAGCGTTACGCAACCGATGAAAAGATATTGCCGCTCGACTGATTCGGAGTGAGACCTCTGCTGTTAAACCAGAGCCGGTCATGAGCACACTGCCCAGGTATGGGAAACTCTCCACAACTGCCCCATCACGCGCGCACACACACGCGCGCACACACACACACACATGCACGAGCACGCACGTACGAGCACACGTACGTGCACGCGCACGCACCTTGAAGAAGATGATGATGGCGGCGATGAGAACGCCCAGGCTCTGCAGCAGGTCGCCCAGCACGTGGATAAACGCCGCCCTCACGTTCACGTTCTGCTCGCTCCCCTTCCCCCCTCCGTGGCTGTGGCCGTGGCCGTGGCTGCCGCCGTGGCTGTGGCCGTGGCTGCCTGGCTGGTGCAGCGTCACGGCCATGCTGCGAGGGGGGGGGGGGGGTGGCGGAAACGCGCGAAAAGGACGAGCGCAGATTGACTCCCACGTTCCCAAACACATCCACCCCACCCCGCCCACCTCCTCCTGAAAGACTGACGCCATATGCTACATATGCTAAACTGAAAACCAAAAAACTATTCTTTATTTTGCCAGGGAAGGCTCACCGAGCTATAGAGCTCTCTTTCAGAAGCAACCTGGCCACGAATGATAGCTCAACTTATCGTCACGTGGGAAATTTATACCAGGCAAGAGAGTTAACATCTCGCCACCGTGGCGCAGAAATAGTCACGTGATTCACCAGAGCTAAGCGAGTGCATGTCATCAGCGCCTACGCTAGCAGGGCGAATACTTTTAGCACCGTTTTTTTTTTATTTCCAGATTTCGGGACACCCTTCAAATTAAATTTGGCCGCTTTTCTCGAGGGTTAGTCCCGAATGGCAAGGCGACTTCAACCCCATAATTTCATTCATCTTTGATCGCTCAACACATCCCCACCACGAGAGTTATCGTGGGCACACCGTGACACAGACAGACAGGCAGGCAGACGCCCAGAACCAAAGCATCGCTTTCAACTTTAGCCAATCACCATCAGCCCTATTCGATCTGCTAGGTGAGGGCCTTCCCCATGCCATCGCCATCAGCAGCCATGGTCAATCCACTGCTGGATGAAGCGCCTCCCCCGAGTCCCTCGCAATCTCCCACCATCCCGCAATGCCACAACCCACCCAGCACAAGAACCGGTTGCATCATTTCCCCTCCCGGACGCGTTCCTGTTTCCCGGCTGCCCCTCCGTCGTTGGTCGCAGCCTTCGACCATCGTCTCCCCGAGTGACGTGTCCTGCCCCAAGCTCACTTTGCGCACCTTTGCAACATCAGACGGTAAAGCGTTCTTAAAAAAAGGGACCGGGCGGTCCTCACATGATGTTAACGCCGACGGCGCAAGCGGCCGTGATGAGCATGACCTCTCCGTCGATGCTGAAGTCGTTGCTCACGCTCCTCTGCACCGCCAGGTAGACCAGAACACCCGTCACCACCCAGATGGCCAGCACCGACAGCAGTGCTCCAAGGATCTCTGCACGTGCACGCACACACAACAATAATAAATTAACATTTATATGTAAGGCGCCTTCCACTAATGTCTCAAGGCGACTCGTAAGAATAAGGAAAGGCCAAGAGAGAAGGAAAAGATAAATATCATAAACCGACTTAAGATGTAAATCTTGACTTAAAGCTTTCGTGACTGCAGGAATTCGTATTCTTTGGGTCTTTCGATAAAGTCACAGTTTTTTCCTGATGACGACCGCTTGTGTTGCGATCGAAACATCATAGTTTTTGGTTATTTTGTTATTTTCCTTGAACCTATCTACGTGCCTTTACCAAAAGACCCCAAGAATATGACTTAAGGTGTGTTTTAAGATGAGACTTAAAAATTATCCACTTTATCGGATAAATAAACGAATTTCCAACGGTAGGGAATGCCACAACCGTGGCGCACAGCCAATGCCGGCTCATCCCAGGGACGCAGCCGGGATCGGGGTACGCACAGAAGGGCGAAGTCTGCAGATCTTAACGACCTTGAGGGGGTGTACGGATTAATTAACCCGTGAATATATGGTGGTGGTTCCAGCCCATGCAAGGCTTTAAAAACTAGTCGAAGGCTCTTAAACGCTACTCGTTTCAAGATCTGGAAGCCAGTGTAATGATAAGAGAAGAAATGTAGTCATGTAATGGCGATCAGGTGAGCAAACGTTAGCAAGCGCAGTTGATATTAATAATAATGTACATTTTGTAAGGCACATTTCATCCATAGATCCAAACGCACCCCACGTGTATGGAAAGCGGGGAAATAAACAGAACCAGGTTAAACGGCCAGGGCCAGGGGGTAACGGGCCAGTTCAAAGAGAGCGAGTTTTCAAGACAAGACTTAAACGTGAAGCTAACAATTCCGACTGTCTCATTAGCCACGTGGACATCATCAGCAGCAGTAGCAGCAGCCAAGGAAGAGGAGTGACCTCCCATTGTGTGGGGGGGGGGGGGGGGGGGGGGAGTTACTGTGGGGGGGTAAGAGCAATGGACAAGTTCAGGAGTGGAGTGGGATTGAAATGCTGCAATTCCAGGATACACGATTCCAGGCCAGGTTTTGCGGGTCATGAATGAGGAAATACATTTGGGCCTACCCGGTCGTAAAAGAAGGTCATCTGTCCGTCACCCGTTGACTTTGTCGGGCAGCCCCAGTAATGGTGCGAAGGGCCAATTCTCCCAATGACTCGTTTACGCTTCAATAACTTTAAACCATTTCGACCTCGTTGGCAATGGCCCTCAATCCATTAGGCGCTGTGCGTGACCGAAGTGACTCACCAATTCGTCGAGCCGAACAAATTATTACACTTACGACGCAATAATTAAGTCATGCAACCCCCTCTCAACTGGTGGAAGAGCTTCCACGAGAGGGATTTCTGGAGAGGCCCTCTCTAAAGCCATTCGTTTATGCAAGCCCAAATTTCACAAGTTCAAACTTATAGCACCGCATTTTATCAGTCCCTTGCGCCTGTATATACACGATGTGAACGCATTCATGAAGTATGCAAAAATGTGAACTCGTGGCCAGCGGAAAGAACAACGAAAAAAAACCTGAAGCGGTGGTGTTTAAAAAAAATCGCAAATCCTCAGTGTTGGCAAAACGCAGGTTTCACACGTCACTATTTGTCGGTAAACCCGGTTCCAGATTGAACGAGAGAAATCTTGAGTTGCCGCAATGCCGCGGCCACGAACCGTGAGGCACGTGCACACAGATGTACTTGTGCAACCCGTGATGTGTCAACCTACTTGCTTGCTTTGGGGAAAAGGCCTCCATAAATCTTGCCAGCCACGAGACATATTTGACCAATCTTCATCACAACGTTCGTCCGTACAAGTTGGCGATTGTGGTGGGGGGCAGGGGCGGGCATTGGGATATCATCCCACCCCTGAGCGGACAGCGATGGCTATACCGTACTGATGCGTGCCAATGATGACAAAACCGATATGCAGTTGCCTTGGTGTCTTGCAGCTTCTTGGAACGCCTGGCTATTGCATTGCAGAGTGCACAGTTATTAGCCGAATGTCATCTTGATATGCAGAGCGTAAGGAGATTTTCCCATTGGGCCATGCAATCTGAAACGCGTTTATTGCCCATGTTGCTATCGTATAACTGCACAATCAGCGATAAGCGTGGCGCTGCCGTTGTAGTGAGCGCATCCCGAACGGGGGGGGGGGGGAAGCGGACCTTGAGCAAAAAGTAATCAACAAAATACCTCAACACATCCTTCCCAGCACCTCAGATTAGAGATTAGCACGGTTGTCTAGGACAGGTGCCAAAGAAGTTCAACATACATATGCACGCATACTTTTGCGTTCGTAACGGCTACTATTGTTGTCAAATGAAAATAACCGAATCGCAATCTCCCTCCGAAAAACACGGATGGATAGTTTTGTCCACATTTTTCGAAAATTCTTCAGATTTTTAAGCCTTTGTGCGGTAATGCGTGATCTTTTTTTTCCCCCCCTCGCTGAACAAATGGCTTGGGCGCCTTGTTGAAAATTCCGATGTTCTGGTTTGTTTGGTAAAAGGCGCAGCCCTGCAAATGCTCGCTTTATCCGGAAGGGGTCGCCACTAGAGAGAGCACGAGAGGGACTTCTCTAGTGAGAATCTCTCTCTAAAGTCCCTCCCCCTCTAGATGGAGATAGATCTAGGGGGGCTCTCTCGAACTCTAGGAGAGAGCCCCTCCAGAGCTGGTTGTTTATCCACATAACTGCAAGAGAGAAAAACAACAACAAAAAACCCGGGAACTTATTTCATTTCAACGAATAATTTTTGCTTGGGAATGGTACTCAAATACTCGCATTCAAGGGGGGGGCTGCATGAATATCGGTGCGTTTATTTCAACAGCTGGTCCCGTTTCTTTGACGACGACGTCCAAAGTAATTCCTTTCTTGTCCAACAACTTCCCCATTTTCCGTGTTGTGAACAGCTGTTCACAACATCAGCCACGACGTGGTCGTGGCTGATGTTGATGATCCAGAGGCTCACTAATTCCATAAGCCCGATAGTATAAATGTTACACGATACACCCGCAACAACGAAAAAACTGTTATTCGCACGTCGATTCCTCCTGTTATCTGTGTTTTTCACAGACAAAAAGGGTAAAAGTTATGAAATGTGAGGAATGTGACCGTGGAGCCAATTGTGTTGCACTTCATGTGCCGTGCCCCCTCGGGAGGCGTTGTGCCATGACCCCGGTTACAGTTACATTTGTGTCCACGTGTCCGAACCAGTCGGAATGTGCCCCCGGCGCCACCGGTGGCGAGATGTTAACGCACTCGCCTGGTATACAGGAGGTCGTGGCTTTGATTTCAACCTCGACGCCTGCATATTTTCGGAGTCTGCATTTTCTCCCCGGTGTTCGTGTGGATGTTTTCATTGGGTCCACCGGTTTTCCCCGCCCCCCCCCCCTCCACATTTAGAAACACGCTGCTACACATTCCCACTTTGTTGAGCGATCATTTCTGTCCAGGTTGCTTCTGAAAAATAAGCTAGCTGTACATTGGAAGAGCAGCAGCGATTATCCATTGGCTACGACTACCATTATGGATGGTAACAACTGTATCATGCCTGTGGCAACGTTTACAAATAGGCAGGACAACTGTATGTTGCTGTATATATGTATGCATCACTTCCTTCGCACAACGTTTGTGACGGCGGCGACAGGAGCGGTAGTAGGCCAGTCGACGCGTCAGCTCCAGTCACAGAAATCGTTCAAATTGCCATTATTTATTGCAACGCCCCTGTGTCTTACTGCGATTGTTGTTATTTTTTTACCTGCTCGGAACCACCCAAAGTTCATGTTCTTGGTTGCCGGCCTGGAGGAAACCCAGAGGGAGAAGAGGCTGATGAGGAAGCTCGCGAAGTCCGTGAGGAGGTGAGCGGCATCCGTCATGATGGCCAGGCTGCCGGCCAAGTAGCCGCCTGATCAGAATCAGAGTATTTATTTACACAGGAGGAATCCGATGAGCTATGAAGCTCTTTTCCACAGATATCCAGTAGGGGCGGGGGCAGGTCAGAACGTTACAACAAACATAACAACATGATAGGAGTACAAAGTATAGGACAGGTCAACAAATCACTTTAAAAATATATACAAATTAAACTATTTTTTTTTTTACCAATTAAAGCCCACTGGAGTATTAACTTATTTTTGAGAGGCGACCTGTCCACAAATTATAGCTCAACAAAGTGGCTCATCACATGGAGATGTGTAGAGAGGAGTGGGATTTAGGTATCACACAGCCCACGACTTCATTAACCTATGGCCCACGGCGGACACGTGGCCCGGGCTATAGGGCCCTACAACTTAGAAACGTGGACTCATGAATACCATAACTTTTGTTCGAAATTGTTGTCAACATGTGCCTTGGGCAATCTTTATCATGATTTAGACTGCGGGAATCTGATGAGCTATGAAGGTCTTTTTAACAGATGTCGAGTAAGGGTGGGTCAGCAAGTTACAACAAATCTAAACAATTTTCGGGGGGGGGGGGGGGTGTCTGGACACCCACAATGGCTGCATGCCCCACCCCCCTACTCTGTCCCTCCCGCCACCGACCCCCTGGGTCCTGGCGCGGTCGCACCGCCTGTGCACACAACAGCAACGTTGGCGCACACCCTCACCGACGATCTCGCCGATCATGAAGACGAGGCACACGAAGGAGGCGATGTAGAGCTTGCGCTTGGCGTGCTGCTTCTCACGGTGGCGCTCGCCGCTCAAGGAGCGGTCTGCGTGGCAGTGCCACATTGCCATGTCGAGCGAGACCGACGGGCTGGAGCCTCCGATCATGCAGGCGCTGCGCACGGGGGAGAGGGTGGCGTGCGGGCGCCAGCGTTAGATCGGACCAGCCGACGCTGGTGCACTGTGGCTGTTGTGGAGGTGCATTATGGGTGCTTTTAGAAAGGACACGGGCATCTGGCATGGTAACGTTACATTTGTAGTGAGCGACTTCCGACACACGTCTCGTCGAAGGCTTCTTATTCATTAAGAGCACACCGGGCGATACGTTTTGTAACGTGGCTACACCTAGGCTGTCCAAACACGCAGCCGATCTCCATTCCTGCACTACGCTGGCTGGTTCAAGAGCGCAGTTGCCCGGACGGAGGTGGACTTGCAGAAGAACAGCCACGTGGTCGAAGAAAAAGAGATGACGATGGCAGCGACGCAACCAGGACCCAGACCCCACACTAACAGCTCCGAAGCTCTGGTTCGGTGCTCCTTATATCTGCCTGGTGCGGCCAAGCTCCACCTCTGGCCACGCCCCCTTTCCAGAACCCTCGGGTTGGTTCCCAGAGCTTCTCGACCGACTCCACCCTTGACCTTTACCCCAGATACGCCCTTCATAATAAGGCATTATGTAATGCAACTATAACCGTAATTACCCCTACAGGCCGACAGGTGTCACCCTGTCATTACACGTTGAAGACTCGCGAGATTTTGTCAGGATCATCGCTGTTCATGGAAAAGCACGAGAGAAGGGGCACCTGGTACCATGGGGTTACGCCCTTCTGTGGGGGAGCCTTCAGCTGTTAACCCCACTCCCCTCCCTGTTGGTTTTCTCCAGGTATGCCAGTTTCCTCCCACTTGAAGACAACTTCTCATGAACGGAATTGGCCAAACAATCCAATATAAGCAGCACCCTAGCAGATTCGATTAAGGTTTCCTGGACGAGCCGCATGTTTACGTAACCGCTATTAATATTTTTTGCTAAAATATGCATGGTGTAGCCTCTGTTATTAGAACAATGGCATTGTAATCTCTCACCGTCTGCACTCAATCTGACCCCCCCCCTTCATCACCCCCTCATCCGCTCGGCTCACCACACAGCTGCTCACACTCTGGCACCATCTTCCATCACCTCGCCGAGCACGTTTCACTCGCACCCGTCACCCTTGTAAACAAAATCATTTGGCCAGACATCCCAGTGAAGGGAATGCTCCTTCAGAAAGCGCCTCGCGTCTCGGCGGTGTTTTCCTGGGGAGGTAAACTGGGCCATTACACCAACCATTCCAGGCTGACCGATTGACACTATTGCTGGATTATCCTAGTAGCACAAGTAGCTACAAATGCTACGGGCCCCGCACTTTCAAGGGCCCCGCGCTGAATGCTTTCAAGCTATCAATTCCGGTTCAGTGATTATGCACTTGCTCTATTACTATAGTACTATACTGCCTGCAACTTTTATGAACGACTGGGTGTTTAAGGTTAGCAATTTGTCGTATTGTCTAGCTGTATAGCAAATGAAAAAATACAATTACTTTACTATGCAAGTAAAACTGTGTGTTTTAATATTTACGTGTTTTTTTTAATTTAGGGCCCCTTTATAAGCACATGCTACAGGCCCCGCACTAACTTAATGCGGCACTGATTGCCACGTGACAAGACATTCTTTGCAGGGCGTAACAAAAGGTGCCGCGTCTCCTCGTGGGATTAAAGGAGAGGCCTCGCGAAGCGACTTCACGAGCGCGGGTTTCGGGTGACGTCGTCTCTGCCTGGGTAGCCGTTGGTTCACCGCGGCCAGAGCTCCGAATGAAGAAGTCTTCCTCCCACGACATCGTTAGGGGTGGGGTGCTGGGAAAGATCACGAGGCCCGACCCTGCGGGATTGCACGTGCAGTCTCTCTCTCTCTCGCCTCCCCTGCGTGGTGCGTCCACCGAGCGCTGCTCCCAGACACAAGGGGACTCTTTGACTCTCCCGTCTCCACGCGCTCCTCTCGGGCCACGTGCTCCCCCCCCCCCCACCACGCGCGCATTCCACACGAAGCCCATGTGACGACGGCCACGCGGCGTCGGGGCTGCGTCGTCAACCACCGCAGTTCGAGGCCCTTCTCAGCCTTCGTGCCAGCGAGGCCGCATGCCACCGGGATTGCCCGATGACAATCTTGTCTGCGCGCGCGGGTGCGTGCGGCATTGTGCCATGGACCCACGTAACAACCATGGAACAATTACATGTACGGCCCTTTTTGTCAATCGACCGCAGGACGAGGAGGGGGGGGTCTCCCTCCCCACCCCGTGCGAGTTGTGCATGTTATTTGACCATACTTCACCAAGCCGGTCAACGCGGGTTGGCGAAGGTGGAATACATAATGGATGGCTTTGTTGTACTACCCTCTGCTGCCCACAATGCTGAGTCCGCCTGTCTTTGTTGCATGGGGGTGGGGGGTCGCCCATCCAAGCACTATCGAGGCTTGATCCTTGTGTGTGTTTAGTTTGTTCTCCTTCCTCCGAATGCGTACGGTGTGAAAGAAGTTCCACATACATACACTCCTGCTTGGCTTCTTAAGATCTGGCAGGTTCGGGTGCATTCCGGGTGATTTGGTCATCGAACACGAAACAATAATAATAATACAAATTAAACGGTCACAACAAATTTCTGCCAGCCCATTGCTCGGTCGCGATGTTCCACGCGGTGGATAGTTTTTTGGCGACAGAAGCAGAGTAATAACGTCGAGGTTTTTGGGCAAACTCGTTCATTCACACACAACTTAACTACACAGACGTTATGGACACATGCCTGTTGTTTACTCAGGAAGTGGTTGTTCTACTGACTCGCCCCCGCCACAGGGAATGTGAAATGCCTGCCAGTGGTCCTGGGTTGTCAACGGGATGCGAGCAGCGCATCAATTGCTCATTCGAGTCATTCTCGGACTTTCCGAGCGCGGATAATTTTGGGTGAAACCGGAACACCCAGCGAACACCCGAGAAAACAATGCAACGTCCACACATATGGGGGGGGGGGGGGGGGTTAGCAACCCTCTTGCTGTACTGCCATCTCCTGGTCACTTGGCAGCCCGGCAGATTGGGAGTCTCGCTGCGTATTCATGCGAACTTGGCAACCCTACCGATTTAAGCGGTTGGCTGCCGATTGTTTAACCCATTCACTGCCTGCCAATTTACAAAGTACAAAACGTTGTCAAATGTTGAAATATCCCCCCCTCCCGCACCACGCATGTTCTTCAGCGGGACAATCCGCTTTGGCCCTGCCTATTGATACCCTTAACAGTCACCATGGCACAGCGACACGAGTTCTCGGAGCTGGACTCCTTCAGGGTAACAACCCAAATTATAGCAAGGTTTATTTTTGGGCAGCCATTGATGAACAGGCTGAGTAGGACAACTTACCGCAACTCTCGAATCTGGTTGAATGACCGTGGCAGGTGAAACACAGATTCAGACCCCAGGATATACCAGAGGTGCGGGGGTTCCGCATTGTTCCGACACGGCCATCAGGAATCCCCACCCACTCTGGTACTTTAACCTGTTGTAATTTTGAGTGCGGAGTCATTGGTGAACAAAGTGCAGACATTATCAACTCCGCTACACTTGCGATAACCCGGATTAAAACTCGGGTTCTCTGCAGTGCTGGGCTCGGCAGCTCCGACAATACCCATTATTAATCTCGCACCCTCTCCCCCACGGCTAACACTGTCGGCAGCGGTTGCACCCGACTTAAGAGCCGCATGGCTCACAGGGCTATACCTAAATAAATGAAACGTGAAAACTTTAAACTTGAAACACTGAAGGCTGCGGGCTAACACTGGCGGTAGAGGCTAACACTGGTGGTAGGGGCTAACACTGGCGGTCGAGGCTAACACTGGTGGTAGGGGCTAACATTGGCGGCAGGGGCTAACACTGGCGGTAGGGGCTAACACTGGCGGCAGGGGCTAACACTGGCGGAAGGGGCTAACACTGTCGGCAATGGGCTAACACTGGCAGTAGAGGCTAACACTGCGGTAGGGGCTAACACTGGTGCGTCTACCGTAAGCACCACGAGCTTGTCTAACAAGCTGTAACCTCCAAGTTCACCTGTGGACTCACGATTGGTGGGCTGAGCTCGTAAAAGACCGCTGTAATAAATTCCCGATCTTCACCAGATCCATCGCACTGTCCTCATACGTAACCCCCTAGCACCAAGCTGAACGCAAAATCATCTCGGTATAAAGTTAACTTCATCTGGACAAGGCTACGGTAAGTAAATACAACCCTCACACGAATCCAACCGTAACCATAACCCCAACCCAACACCAAACACTAATCCCAACTCCAACGCAATCCGAGCACAAACCCTCTGCCTGAACACAACAACGCCATGCCTAACACAACAAACCAATAACTAACACTAACAACAGTAACCATATAGTATCTCTTACGACAATAATAACCAAAAACATTGCCCGTGTGGCTCTATCCCTAACTCCAGCAAGTAGCCTCTGACACCAAGCGCAAATTGTGCGCGTTACAAATTAGCATCACGATTCAATCCTTGGCAGTAAACACAACACTACGGTGGGGCAGTTGGGGGTGGCTGTGTTTATTTTTTTCAAACTTTTAAAACAACTTTCTTCAAGTTTTTTCCCCCCTCTTCCCCTATTTTGAAGAGTGCCTTTCTGAAGAGCGTGTGACGCTCAAGTCGGTAGAGAAGCGGTCGACGCCAGCGAGTTACAGCACGAGCAGAAACAGAATCGGAATATTTTGATTTTCACATACCCGGGGAATCCGATGAGCTATAAAGCTCTTTGTCACAGATGTCCAGTAAGGGGCAGGTAAGCACGTTACAATAACAAACGCCGTTGTGGGGGGGGGGGTTGATTTGCCGCATCATTGCAGCGCAACTACAGAGTCAAGTTACACGCGACTCACCTGAGCGGTGCGCTTATCAGGACGGGTGGAGATGAAGATGATGATCGTGGTGGCGATGATGGGGGAGGAGGGGGTGCCGTGTATTGAAAAGGTTGCGAGTAGGGCACCGGTAGAGAGCTCACCTGTCGTCTTCACTCGTGTACGATCTACTCTTCGCAACGCCCAAGAGACCAGTCCTCTCCGTGCCGTCCATCTCCATCGCGATTCGACAACCCCGCCGCGGCCTGCCCGACTCCCCTCCAACCGCGTACGCCGCGGGCTACCCCTCGCCTCCCCTCGCAGTCTCTCGCCTCCCCCCACCACCACCCCGTACTATTACTTCCCCTCGAGGCTGCCCTCTTAACAGCCAAGCCTGCCCCCGAGGTGGAACCACCGGGTTCACGGTTGAAATTCAAGCGAATGTGAGACACCCGGCACCCACGCCGTATGAACGCGCCTTGTGTCCCTTTACCGCGTTATTAATAACAACAATAATAATAATAACAACAACGAATGACTCGACCGAGGAACTAACTGCTTCGAATTGCCTGGCGTCGCATGGGTAGTGGATGTTGCAGCGCGCGCACACCGCACACACACGCACGCACGCGGGCTGGAACAACGCGCAGAGTGGAGTGTCCCAGGGCACTTGCTGCTGCCGCTGCTGCCTTCGTCTGTAATCGCGCTTGCTGCCGCTGCCGACCCGTGTGCAAGACCACCCACAAGCACGCACGCGCACCTCGACAACAAAGAGACTTGCACACGGCACCACCAACAAAGTTGCAAGCGGCACCAATAGCTTTTTTTTAAAGGGGGGGGGGCGGTGTTACCGAACGAGAGAGATGCAACTTTGTTATGAGCCCCCCCCCCAAACCCAGACGACAACCGCCCACCGAACCACACCTCACCCCCCCTCCACCCCTGCCTTGCTGATCCTGTGACACGATGTCCGATGTTCCCTTTCACCGGTGCTGGCAACTTCCTCGCAACCGAATGATAGCATCGTTCACTCGATTCAGTTCCACGAAGCAGAGTTGCGCAGACTATACAGACGCGGTGTTCTGTTTCGGCGGAAAGCGCCCAGCGCGTGGAGAGCGAAACGTCGGACAACAACACCGCCGTACAGCAACATCGGAGAAGTTACACCGCAGCACCGGCCACGTAAAAAAAACACACACAAATGCGGTGGCGTCACGCACATTAACTCCTCACAAGGTTCCACTTTCACTCCGCGTTCCTTCCGTGCGGTGGTTATTCGGGGTTGGTACGGTTAACTCGGGGTTAACTCGTCATATCATTCTTTTCCGAGATCTCCAACAGGTGGCAAAGATGGTGTTCACTCCTTCGCCAAGGATGCAGGAGGTCGTGGGTTCGATCCCGAACCTGACGCCTGCTGTATACAGTAGTTGGAGTTTGCATTTTCTCCTCGTGGCCGCGTGGATTTTTTTTCCGGGTCCTCCGGTTTTCCCCCTCCACGTTTAAAAGGACGCTTTTCGAGTATTCGGCTGCTGTAAATTTCCACGTGATAAGCCACTTCGCCGAGCTGTCACTTTTGGCCAGGTCGCTTCTAAAAATAGCAATATAGCTCAGTGGGTCTCACCTGGTAAAATCATTAATAGTAAGAGTATCAATCTTGATTTGAAGCTTTCGTGACTGCAGCAATCCATACTCTTTGGTTAAGTTGTAAAAGGGCACGTTAATAGTTAACCACGCGGTGACAGCGAGAGGGATACTGGAAGTGCTCGTGTCAATTGATTAGCCGGCCGAGTTGTCCTGAACTATGGCACACACCACGTGGAGCCGTGTGCACACAGCAAGTGGGGCCGTGTGCACACGAAGTTTGGAGGGGATTGACACCACCACACCCCTCTCCACCCTCATTCCTTAACTGTCTCCCTCCACTCCAAAATGGATAAGTGGAGGGAGTTTTGCAGTGATAACACTGTGTAACAAAAATCGTGTTTGTTTTTTTTTGTTCCTGGGTAACAAGTGTTATTTCCTAATTGCGTATGCCTCAAAAGTGCAGAAAATGGCTAATATTCCCCACAAACTTTGCTTTTGTGACGGGGACATTGATATTTTGAAATTTACCTATTTTCAATGAGAAAACGTGGTGTGCATTTGTGTCATTCCTTCACATAAAGTCCTGGTCACAAAAGCAAAGTTTGGGGGGGGGGATAACAATAGCCATTTTCTGTACTTTTGAGGCATAAGCAATTAAAAATAACACTTAGTACCCATGAACAAAAATTGTGTTACATCGTGTAATTAGTGCAGAGTAAAGGCCATCGCTGTTCTCTGATGTGCTGTTGTCGGTCGCGGTCAAACCCGAATGCACTTTAAGACGAGCCGTACGCAACGGTAACAATTGAACAATTCTTGCTGGGTGCATGACGGTCTTTAGCTATTCCGATGCGAAGGTTGGCAGAACACTCCCAATCCCGCTGCATGGAGGCCGCGGGGTGTTTGCTAATGCGTTGGCAGTCGAGTACGGCAACTGGGTTCAGGAACCCATCTGCGCGATCACTTGGCATCCCCTCTCTTATGTTGAGTTATTTAATAATTTTATGAGTTGCTTGCTTGACTTCTCTCCATCTCACTCTCGTATCCTTCATTGCATTTTGAGCTCATCTAACTTTCTGACCCCGGCTGCGGACTAAGCATCCGTGAAAAAGAGCGTCGTGGCTTATCAGATTCCTCCAGGATAAATACACATTCTGATTTCTCCCGCACAAATGTCGAATTCTCATGACTGCGAGTCGCCCCTGAACACCAAAAAAATAAAAAGTCTTGAAAGTCAACAAAATTCAACTTTACTGGATAAATAAAATTACTGGCGCGTATCAACGGTATCAGCGCGAGCGTGCTTTGTGTGTCGCACGTTACATGGTAACGAAACCTGTGGGCCTCCCCTAGATCGACTCAGCCTTAAATGAGCACTCTGAGCGCTGTGTTTGTGGTTGGTGATGGAGCCACCCGCCCACTCCCCGTTGTTGCATCATTTTGAACACTTTGTGTTCATGACCAGAAACTCGTGAAGGAAGTGAAGAGTGAGCGCGGGCGAGCCTTGTAAAATAACGACCACAAGGATGTATTTTGGCTTTCCCACCCGATGATGGACGCTTGTGTTGCGCCCGAAACGTCGTGATTTATTTTATTTTATACCTACGTGACTTTACCGAAAGAACCAAAGAGTATAGAGTATGATGTATTGGCTGTTTGAAGTCGGCGGTCTGCCACCACCAAGGCCGTGTGTGCATTACACGCGGGTGGTGTCACGCGCTTCGCCTGCTGCTGCTGCGGCACGCAGCGCGTGCGTGAAGCCGTGTGCACACGAGGAGTGGCTGGCGAGGTGCGGCGGTGGTGGTGCAGCGGTGGTGGTGGTGCAGCGGTGGTGCAGCGGTGGTTGTGCAGCGGTGGTGGTGCAGCGGTGGTGGTGCAGCGGTGGTGGTGGTGGTGCAGCGGTGGTGGTGCAGCGGTGGTGGTGGTGGTGCAGCGGTGGTGGTGGTGGTGCAGCGGTGCAGCGGTTAGCGCTACGCTGCGCTACTGAGCGGGCGACTCGAGTTCGATTCCCGCTCACCGCCAACACCTGTGACGATTATCTGAACCGGGCTTAGGCGCTCCCTTAGGTCGACTCAGCCTAAAAATGAGCATCTGTTGCGGTGTGTCGACAAAGGCGGCTGGACGTGTCGATGGCCACACACCCCATCGTGTGACGTGCCGGCCTTCATAGGTGCGCGCTATCAGCACTTGCCCCCTTTGGGGTCGGGGATTAGGTCACACCTCAACACTTCCTTCCCCTCTTCCTACACCCACGGGGAGAAGTTCCTCCTTTCTTACTTTGCGTGCACGACGCCGGCCAGGCACCGGACAGTGTCTCGGATGCGAGGGCTGGTGGATGGCACACAGATCGTTTGCGAATTTCTCAAACCCGCTGACTCGGAAGCCAAGCAAACCTGAGCCTGGTTGCATCGCAAGTCCACGGCAGATGAATGCGACTTCGAGAGGGATTGATCAGAGCTGATCGCGAGCACAAATATAACATCAATACATGCCTACCTGTCTTCAATCCGTGACTACGCAGCCCCGATGTCTTCGTCTCGTGTCTCGTGTCTCCCACTCCTCTGCCTCTGTCTTCGTCTCGCGTCTCGTGTCTCCCACTCCACCGGCCCTGTCTTGGCCTCGTGTCTCCCACTCCTCCGGCTGTCTTCGTCTCGTGTCTCCCACTGATGTCCCCATCATCACGTCGAGGCTGCTCGTGATGTGGACTCTGCTCTGTGGTATTTATGAGCATCTGTTGCTCGCGTGACTGCCGTTGACTCAAAAACATCACCTGTCGTTTACACACACACACACACAACAAATCCCGCTTGTTTATGTTTTGTGTTAGTAAAAGAAATAACAGTAACAAAATGTAGTAGCCCTTTTGTTAACCCACTGCTGGATGAAGCCCCCCCCTCCCCTATGTCGTGTCGGTCATTGGGGTTGCTTGACCATACTTCAACATGCTGGGCAGTGCACATCTTGCGATGGGCCGTGGGGGTGACCAGGATGGGTTTTAGATATCGCTCGTCGCTGTTGTTGGCCGTGGCCGGGGATCGAACTAAGATGGCCAGGATCCATAGCTCCTCCAACCACCTGCGCGTTAATATTTAACGTTGTACACGGGGGGGGGGGGGGGGGGGGGGGGGCACCACCTGGAGAAAATCACACGGTTTATATTGACTTTTTGCGTCATGGGGCTCTTGCAGGACACGTCACTAGAACAGCAGTAATGGACAATGGTCGAGGCCAAAGATGGAGCGGCAGCCAAAGGAGAGAACGCGCCCAAGGAAATTGGAGTACTGATATCAGCCCGCGTGCAGGTACCAGCAGGCGGATCGTGTGCATCGTGATAGATGATGAGAAATGGCACGAGCTTGGGGAGGCCTTGATCCCGCAGTGGATTGATCGTGGCTGATGATGATTTATCTGCATCATCAACTCGAGAAACCTGCAAGGAACAGTACTTCACAATAAAAGTCACAAAGTAACTCTGACTTTCCGGAAGGGCATGACCTTGACCTGAAGAACTGATTTGCTCGCTAGACACCTGCCGAACAATATGTCTGTATTACAATGTGTCTAATATATCTCACGATAATTTCCACTGCCGTTATAGTTTGTGGATCAAACGCAGAGCTCACCAGGCGTGACACCCAACCCAGGCAACAGAGGGCTACGATGCAGCCAGTAGTTGGCAGCAGAGCCCGTAGATGCGGATAACCTATTCGTGTGACTCTGCCCGTGTACGTACAATATTACCCCCTCCGTATGTAGCTCACTGTCATTGATATTATTCAACGAAAAGTAGCAGCCAGGGTGGCTGATGATTCAGCAACGGATTCTCTCCATATTCTTGGGTCTTTCGGTAAAGTAACGTAGATAGATTTTGATTTAAAGTTTTCGTGACTGCAGGGATTCATATTCTTGGTTCTTTCTGTAAAGTCACGTAGAAGGGAAACAATAAAATAATAAAAATATAAAACAATAAAATTCTCACGACGTTTCGACTGCAACACACGCAATCATCATCAGGTGTGAAAACCACAGCAAGAAAATTTGAAAAAAGTGGCGGTTATTTTTAACGTTAGCACCACGGAGAGCGATTTGGCAGTTCATCAGATGGACGAGTCCATCTATGTTCGGAAAAGAGGAGGGGGGAGACGAAAATAATGGATGCGGTCTGAAAGCCACCGTAAGCGTGAACAATCATTTAAGACCCGAAATGGTTTATCAAATCCTTCCAATGATTGCTAAGCCAGAATCCATCTTCTCGGTTGAAATTGTCTCTGTGTTTGTATATGTGAACGAATCTCTCATGGTAGCCAGATGGCTTGCAGAGAATGTCATGTGAGCCTACTGAATTATAACAGTGATCTGCCACGGCCAAGGTGTTGGTCCGACCGTGTTTTAGGTCTGCTTTGTGTTCACGGATGCGGTCCGAGACATGTCGTTTGGTTTCTCCAATGTAACTACTACCACAGAGGCAACTTAGTTTGTAGACGCCAGGGTACTGTATGTCCGGAATCACATCTTTTACAGACGGAACCAGATCTGTGAACGTGTTGAATCGAACCTGGATCTTGTGCTTATTCAATGTTTTGGAGATCTTTTTTGTGGTCCCCGCAATGTAGGGTAAAGTGATGGTTTTGAATGGCTCCTCAGGAGGGTCCTTCTTCATGGTTGGAGTAATGGCTTTGCGGATTGTGTAGTCGGAGTAACCAATAGCCTTAAGAGCTTGGTGTACGTGCTTGAGTTCACTGGCTATGTGTTCCTGGTCGGCTATGCATTGGGCTCTATGGTGCAGAGTCTTGATGAGGGAATTCTTCTGGGATGGATGGTGGTGGGAATCCGGTTTCAGGTAAGCATCCGTATGGGTAGCTTTCCTGTAGACAGAGTGGCTCATTGAACCATCAGGCCTCTTTTTTATTAGGACATCCAAAAAAGGTAGCTTGACATCTTTTTCGACTTTACCGAAAGAACCAAGAATAGAACGTAGATATGTTCAAAGAAAATAATAAAAACCTACGACGTTTCGATCGCAACAAAAGCAATCGTCACCTGATGACGACTGCTTGTGTTGCGATCAAAAAATCACCTGATGACGATTGCTTATGTTGTGATCGAAACGTCGTAGTTTGTTATTTTGTTTATTTTCTTTGAACCTATCTACGTGACTTTACCGAAAGACCCAAGAATATGAATTCCTGCAGTCACGAAAGCTTTAAGCCATGATTATCTCCAGTCACTCCCGCGCTTACCGGCGACCCATCACCTCCTCATCACTCTTTCTGTTGCCCGCTATCGCGGGTTACTGTTGTCTTCCTGTAAACTTCACTCATTGTATTGCATCATCCACGCATGCTGCGGTCTTCCAGACAGGTTTCGTCAGTAGCTGTGTTGAAGCATCACAATGCATGTCACGTGACAATCTCGTTCTGCTCCTGAACTATATTGACCCTTTATCAATTAGTACAACTTTGACGGTGCAGTTTGTTCAGTCGGCCTTTTGGGCCTGTGCTCAGCAAACTGTTTGAAACTAAGAATAGGTTTTACCCTTTCTGGCAATAAAACAGGTGTTAAGATGTTAAAACTTCACCGCAAGTATATGTGGTTAATGCAAACGTGATTCCTTGCTAAAATTTTCAGTTTGGTGTTTTAACATCTTAACACAACTGTTTTATTATGGCCAGAAAAGGTGAAACCTCTTCTTATTTTTCATACTGAAAAGGGATGTCCCATGGTGATGTTTGAAAGTGTACATTGGTTCTCTCTGTGTACTCTACTGCGTGCAGTTTCCTCCCACACTCAAGAGGAAATTGTTTTCAATGAAGCTCATTGAAACGCGACATTTATTTGTTTTTAATCAGTACCGATTAAACAGGCAGAAAGCGATCATGAATGGCAGGGCTCTTAATGCATGTAACTAGGCCAAGCGTCATTACAAAGCATAATTACAAAATTGTCAACACGCAATGAATAATAAAGTCCTCGACTAAATTTCTCTCGGTTTAAAAAATATTTCTACTGCTCGTGAAAACATTCACCATGCGGGCACGGGTGGCGATTCTAGGGTGCAGTAAATAGGTGGGCGGTCAATATAGGTCAGTGTGTTTGGCTAGTGTGAGTTAGAGTTATGGTTGGGGTCTGGTTGGCTACTGCAGACAGGTTAGGGGTAAGGAAAGGGTCTCGTTGAGTAGTGTCAGTGAAGTTAGGGTTTAGGGTCTGGTTGCCATGTGTGCTTAAGGTTAGTGGTTAGACTCGGATCTGGTTTGAGAGTTAGCTTCGAGTTAAGGTGAGTAGTGCTTGGGTCTGGTTGGCTCGTGTGGTTAGGGTCAGTGTTGGGGTTAAGACCAGTACTCGTCTCTGATTGGCCAGTCTCGTTACTCTCCCTATAACAGCGCACTCCGTACCCCCATGCCATTCGTGGCGCCCCCCCCCCCCCTTCCCCCTTCATCGCTCGTCCCTTTCGCTCTCCCATCGTCGTTCCTGTCTCCTCCTCCTCATCCTCCTCCACAGCTGTAGGAGTTTCAGTGCCCCATCCACAGGAGTCACCGCATCGCAACGCCGGTCAGCAGCGTCGCCGCCGCGCAGAGCCCCAGCATCGCCACTTGCCAGCGGCCCCATCCGATAGAACCGGGGCCACCGGGGCCTCCACCGCAGCAATCACCCTCGTCTCGCTCGTACCAGCGGCCGAACAGCGTGACGGACAGCGGAGGGCCCTGCAGGCCCACGTCTGAGTTCACGAGACGCCCATCGTCCAGGACCTGCGTGGCCAGTTACATGCAATGCCTCGAGTGGAAATCTCCCCTGGCTTGACACGGATTTAAACAGGAAGCTAAGGGAATATTGTCCATCCCATTGTTTTATTCGACTAACCCCCACCCCCCTCCTTGAGAAAAGACGCTGCTGCTACAACTTTCAAACAAGACGCAAATATTTGTAAAAAGAAACGCGGCCATTTTTGCACTTGTGAAAGAAAAAAAAAGCCCATCGGTATTTTCCCGTGGCCCTCTCAGGTCACCATCAAAAGACATTCGAGCAAATGTGACCGACTGACAGCAGCGGCGATAGACAACCGTGGACCGGTGTCTTCGTGATTAGGACTCGTCAGCAGGGCAGCATTGGTCACCAATGCTCACTGCTGCAAAGTCTGCCTCAGGGAACCAACCGTGGGTGTATAGCAAGGCCGTCATTATAATATATTATAATATATTCTAATATTAAAATATGCTCAAAATGTCCCCCCCCCCATTATATTGCTATAAAAAATGAAAAAATAAAGTTCTAATAATTGCTATGCTATGTAAATAAAAAGAACAATATGCTAAACCTTGGCCACAATATCTGGACTTGTCTTCATATAAATCAATGCATAGATTTCTGTTTATATGATTGTGGTTATGGTTGTACTTTATTAATCCTTAATCTCTGCCATTACATACAATGAAACAAGAAATGGTAAAAAGTAAAAACAGAGCAATGCAATACAATGCACTATTCGACATTATTGTAAAAAAATGAATCAAAAGTCCATCCCATGTGTTAGTGAATTTTTTAATATTTTAGGCAGGAAATGGCAGGAAATGGCAGGAAATTAGTTTTCAAATTTAGATATTTTTCTGGGTTGGGACCCCCAGACCCTCTGGAAGATCTGCCTCCCCCCCCAATGTTGACTCCATGGCTATGGCCTTGGTGTATAGTGCAGTCCAACTCAAAGAGCATTGAGGTGTTTACAGTTAGTGGTGGATATTTCACATTCCTATAGCGGGGCCGGGGGGGGGGTTGCATTATCTCAATAGGAAAAGCACTTTTATTACTGAATTAGTCACTCTTTCTCTCTGGCCTCTCTCTGTGACATGACCAAGGGGCCATCGCAGTGTTATCGATGACAGTGTTGAGTTTTTATTGTTGGTTGGAAAGCATTACTTAGTGAAGAGAGCACCGGGCAACAGAGCGTGTGTTCGTGCGTGCGTGTGTGCGTCACAGGACCATGTTGCGCGATGGTCTGCGCCCACAAAATAATCGGCGACCGCGTTGGTACGGTGGACGTGGAATGACTCCTACGACGCTGACGACGATGACGACGAGGATGATGATAGTCACGACGGACGATCAGATGCCGTGCGTGTGTGCGACGACGTTGCCCCCGCGTACCTGGAACTGCCCTGGAGCGAGCTCCACGCCGCTCAGCAGCACCTCGGGGAAGACGTGGCGGGTGCCGAACGTCCCGGACAGAGAGAAGCGGGAGAAGCGCGTGGCTGCCTCCTTCGTGGGACGCCCGCACGTCTCCTTCTCGGCTCCGGCGCACTTGAGCAGCGTGCAGATCTACAGGCCACGCGCCACGGGGAGGCACGGGTTGAAATGGGGTGATGCGGTGCTGAGATGTTAACTACCTCGCCTGGTATACAAGGAGGTCGTGGGTTAGATTCCGACCCTAACGTATGTATATTTGGAGTTTGCGTGTCTCTCTCCCCGTTGTGGCGTGGATTTTTCTATGGCTCCTCCGGGTTTTCACTCCATATTTAGAAACATGCCTTTGGAGTATTTGGCTGCTATGCATTTCCACGTGATAAGCCACTTCTTTGGGCTATCATTTGTCTCCAGAGCTATATAGCTCAATGGGGCATACCTGGAAAAAAAAAACATTTCAGTTTAGAATTAACGCCATGTGGAGAGAGGTGTGCTCACAAACAGCGCGAAGCCACGGGCTCTGTAGTGCTATGTACGTGGGTATATTGAACTTCTTTCACACTCTATGTAGCGTACCGTGCTATTCGGAGGTGCGGGGGGAAGGACAACAAACTGAACACTAAAAGCAGTTCTCAAGAAATTATTTTTCAATCGAGATTACGTAAGTGCACAGCTCCAGTGGTTTCCGAATATCGACAGGAAGAGCGTTCCAGACGATCGCAGAAGCGCATCTGAAAGCACGCAATGCGGTGACCGTCCTTACACACCGCACCAGCTACTCATTTGAGGCTGAGTAGACCTAGGGAAGGCCCAGGACGGATTGAGAAAATAGTCACTGGTGTTGGCCATGAGCGGAAATCGAACTCGGGTTGCCGGGTTCGCAGTGCGGCACGCTAACCGCTGCACCCACCGGTCCCCACCAATAACACCAACAGCCGCAACTACAAAACGACGGTGACGTCACCACAGCCCTCGTACCAGACTAGGTGCTAGGCACCACCACCACCATCGCCGTCACCGGCGATGCTACCTGCAGGTAGTACTGCCCCTCCACCACGTGCAGGCCGCTGAACGCCCCCAACGCGTGCAGCTCCCCAGCCGCCCGCGGCTCCTCGGCCGCCTGCATGGCGAACTCCAGGTGGCAGCACAGCTCCCCGTGGCACACGGACGCGTTCGCGGTGCCGGCGGCCAGCAGCACCATGGTGAAGGGGTCGTGAAACACGGAGGCGGTGAAGGAGGGTGGCGACGAGGTGCCCGGCGAGGGGGGCGCCAGTGCGGAGGCGTGGCGGCCCCAGTCGGGCCGCTGGTACCCGGGAGCCCGCGGGCTCGCGTCAAGCTCGGCGAGCAGCAGGTGCCCGCTGCCGGTGACGGCGTCGTAGTGGTAGGCGCGGGCGCCGTCCGGGCTGTAGATGCCGCTGCCTGCGGTGGGATGCGTGCCGTGGAAGGTGAGATTTTGTTTGTTATGTTGCGCGCGCAACCCTTTGCGACAGTGTTCTTAGCTGATGTTCAGAGGTGGACGGAGGAAAAGGGCGGGGGGGGGGGGGGCACTTTCGCCGAGAAACCATGGGGGGTTTGACAGCAGCATAATATGGGGGCGTTTCACATTTGTGTATTGTCGGGGGCCGCACTAAAGGCGGCCTGCAGGCCTTGCGATGAAGAACGCTGCTTTACAACTGCGGTTGTAAGTGTTGATCCACGAGCACCGTCCATCTGTGGTGCCACGACCGTGGAGCCACTCCGCAAGCGCCGCGACTCACCACCCTACCCCCACCCTGAACGCACGCACACACGTAGTGTCCCGGCGGGGGATTGCCTGGCACCACGGGTGATCATCCGAAGGGCCCCTAGGTGGGAAGTCCCGTGGTTTCCCGGTGCCAGGAGATTGGCCGACCCTCCCAGGAAAAATCACATTGCCCCCCCCCCCCTAAATTGGCTTAAAATTGCATGGGCGCACAGAAGCTACCAGTGGCCATCCGCAATGAGTCACTCACAGCACCGGGGAGGGGCCAGGGTGAAATATTAAGCGAGCAGCGCAGACGATGAGGTAAAAGGGAAATCCCAGTGCACACTCGCGGGTGTGTATTCACCAGCCGGGCGGCCTCCCAGCGTTAAACGGCGTGCGCGTTCGCGCCGCCACTTAGCATTAGTCTTTGTGTGGAGCGGCTGCGTGGGCGGACGCGCGGCGAGAGTGAGGGCAGAGCTGCAGCACGAGCGCTCGTTAAAATAATCGCCTGCAGGTGCGCGCGTGTTTGCGCCGCTGCTGTAGTGTTAACTGTCGGGCGTGCGCGTGTTAGAGTATAAACATCAGCAGGGACGCGCGCGTTCGCACCGCTGCTGTAGCATTAGTCATAGTGCGTGCGCGGGTTATGATATAAACCTCCCACAGAAGCGCGCGCGTTCGCGCTGCTGCTATAGGACTAGTCGTGGTGCGGGTGCATATTAAAATGTAAGCGTTAGCAGGGGTGCGCGTGTTCGCGCAGCCGCCTTCGCATTAGTCGTGGTGTACGTGAGCGAGTGCGGAGTAACCCCGTGCGGCGGTGAGCCAGCAATTTATCCAAGTCTCTCCGAAAAGGCGCTAGCGCGGGAGGACCGATCACACAATTTGCAGGGCCCGGCGGGAGCTAAACGATGCGTTGGAGGAGGGAGTGGAGGGGGCAAATGTAGCACTCCACCTGCCCAGCGAGGGTGGTGGGGCGGACATCGGCCCCCACGCATACGTTGGTCTGCCCGTCCCGTCTTGTCCGCTCGGAAAGAACTGTTTAGCGACACGGAAACTGAAGGCTGGCGCCAGGTGTAAAATGAATTTGCTCTGGTTTGTTTCTGGCACATTTTTCGAATTTAGTTTTTTTTTTTATCAAGTTTATCAAATTTGCATCTCTGGATTTCGGGCAACCCTTTGTTTATTCACTCGTCCCGTATTGATTTGAGTAAGTCTCTTATAACGGCACAACTTCACCGCACAGTGTCGTTTGCTATTGGATCGTCTTTACGAGAGGTGTCATGCATGCACCCTCTGTTACAGAGACGGACGGACAGAGCGACTGCAGTAAATGCTCTCCACAGACGGACGTACAGACTTAGTGCAGTTCACGCCTACCCATCTCGGTTGAAAAAACGTCAAGGCCCCGGCTAGGCACCCCCCCCCCCCACCCCTCTCACCGGTCATGCGGTTGGTGGTGTTGTGCGTGTTGGCGGCGAGCAGGTTGACGGCCATGCCCATGGCCCACGCCGAGTGGAACTGCACGGCGCTCAGGTGCGGCAGCACGTTCATCCACGCCGTGGGGAAGAGCACCGTGTCGATGGCGCCCTCCTCCACCAGTTGCACGGCCGGCGCGTGGAACAGGATGTCGAAGCACGTGAAGACCCCGAGCCGCCCAAAGTCTGTTTCCACGATGACCTGCGCGCGTAACCCACGCGACGACCATGGCCATCCGTAGCCGGGGAGGGGTGGGGGCGGCCGGAGGGGTTGCGGAGAAAATCACACTGTGTGGACTCCCCCCCCCTCCCCCCCCCCCCCCCCCCCGACCGCCGCCTTCAAACTAAACCAGAAGTATTACATCTCACACGGTGACGTGAAAGCGTACCACCCCCCTCCTTCTCTCCCCCCCAAAGTGCGGGGCCCGGGGCAGTCACCCCAATTTGCCATACCCTCGGGACGGCTCTGCATGCGACGATGAGTTGCGTTCAAATCCTCACCCCCCCACCATCCCCCACCGTCCCCCACCACCCACTCAGCCAGTCCGTCAGGTCACTTGGACAGCTGCGACCCGTTGTGTTGTTCTGTGACACGTATGGCCCCTGACATAGCAGCAGGTTGCGGCGTCATTGAGCCATCTGCCTGACCTTTTCAGTTTCAGTTTCATTTATTTGGTAAAGCCCTGTGAGCCATTCGGCTCTTGAATTGGGTGCAACCGCAACAAACAAAAAACAAAAACATGAACAAGATGAAAACCTTTAAGTGACTATGCGCAAACAGAAAAATCCAGGAAAAAACAGCAAAATCTTCCATAAAAAGCACAGTACACTAACGCTGTGTGCAAAAATCCCAGTGGGATGCAAGTCAAACAACAACAACAACCACAAGACAACTCAGATTAAATCCATCAGTTTAACTCCGTACTACAACAAACATGGCCAAACCAAAAAACGTTTTCGAAATCACCAAAATAAAGCGATAAAAGCAATGTAACAGTGATCATAGGAACTGTGACTGATATTTCACAATAAACGAAGTTTCGCTCTTTGTATGATGTAAGTGGTTGAGATTTAGAGCTTTGTATGATGTCAATGGTTGAGCTTTAGGGCTCAACCAATATTGGCGAACACCACTAATATATCAGGAACCCCCCCATCTAACAAGAGTCGACTCGAAGAGACTTTCCTGGGTAATGGACATTATTAGTTTGCACAGACCACAATAATTGCTCTTCACACGCACGACTTGGTACACGCATCTCCAGCAAAAGAGTCGACTTGAGAGACGGATCGATGCGTCGTCTCCACGGGCCTACCTGTGTGGGCTCGGCAGGCTGGTCAAACTGATCTTCGCCCATGAAGAGTCGATACTGTGGGAACAAAGGCAAAGATTATCTGCGCAGCCTAACATAGACTGGTGAGGCGAGTGCTATTAGCGAGTACATATTAAGCGTGCACGCAGCACGAGGCACTGCGGTGTGGTCGGCGCCCGGCCCGGCCCGGCCCGGCCGCTTTTGTCCCTCCATTATGTTTCACGCACAGCCTCGGGTACTCGGTTAAGACTGCGTCGAAGTAGGGGCGATGTGGAACTGGGTTACAGTATCGCTCGCCAACGACGTTAAACCGTGACGGGGAATCGGAACTTGGGTCTTGTAGCGCAGTGCACGAAACACCTTGCCGACGTTCCACTGTAGGAACATGCACGCACATTGGGTTAGGTAATCTGCAAACGACAGTGTAGCACCGGGGTTTATTTACCAGGTAAGGCCGACTGAGCTAAGTAGCTCTTTTTCAGAAGTGACCTGGCCACAAATGATAGCTCAACGAAGTGGCTTATCACGTTGACATTTATAGCAGCCAAATACTCTAAATACATGTTTCTAAATGTTGAGGGGAAAAACGGAGGACCCGGAGAAAAATCCATGTGATCACGGAGAGAGAGAACATGCAAACTCCAAATATACAGGCGTCAGGGGCGGGATCTAACCCACGACCTCCTGTATACCAGGCGAGGTAGTTAACATCTCGCCACCGTGGCATCAAGTCCAGGTTCTCCAGTCTTTGGTGATAACGCATGCAGGTGGATCAATTGAGAAACAGGAATGTACTCGCTTCATTGTCGGCGCTCGAGCCATAGACTCGATAGTTTAAAAAGATTAGACTTTGTCGGACGTGACCGGGTGGCTTGGATGTCATACTAATTCAACTTTGAACTTAACCATGAATTAACAATTAACCATTAATTAAGAATGCAATCATTAACAAGTAACTAATGTACTTGTGTAGTGGGTTCGAATTAGGTGCACACACAACTTCTTGGGAGGCAACACTTATTTATTAATGAACACAACAGTTAACTCTTACATTACGCATAGGGTGGTGACCACCGATTTACTCTAGCTAACACACACTTCTCAGATACTCTAGGGAGGTACAGCCTCCTGTCTTGGCGGGACTTACTTACACGTCTACCGCTATCGTAAAGTCCTCCGGCTGGGACCAACACACGGATCTCTTCTTGGCGTCTTCACGATGCATCTTCATTCTTGATATGGGCAGCCTCGAACCTCGTGAGGAGGCTGCTTATATGGGCCTCGGCGTGCCTGGGCCCTGCCCCGGCCACGCCTCCCTTCGAGAACCCTCTCGAATGCCCCCTGCTGTCCACGTGCCCCCCGAGGTGCCCCCTAGGCCCCTGGCCCCCACTGGGGTCCAGTCACGTGTCCAGCCGGGGTCACAGAGAGTGCCACGACCTCACACCACCCTCGTGGCCTCCCGACTCCAGAACCGGCCCTGACGTCATTCCCGCCTCCAGCCGGGATGACGTCATGTGTGAGTAGACCCGCGTGGTCGTGACGCTCCCCCGCATAGTGACGTCACACGTGTGCGTGTTTACGTATTAGTGATGCTACCATCACTACACTTGCACAGGAATGGTGTCTCATGCACCCTTGTTTCAGAAAATATTTGTTCCCACTTTTGAAGTGTTTTTCTTTCTAGGTTTGTATATTTTAAGATTTTAATATTATATCGCCACCCCAGCACCCAATACCGTACAACTACCACCCTCCACTGAGAGATTATAATACTCAATCCGAAGCGATGTGTATTTTGTCCGCATCGTCCGATATGTTGTATCGAGGCCAGAATTGTGTGGATTAACACGACGGTGAGTTGTTATTGGTTATCCGCGCTGTGATTGTAATTTTGACGTTTTTTTTGTACTAGTCCGAGACTTGGGAACGCATCTCGAAGCTTCCGCACCTTGTGATAGCGTCCCACCAGGCGGCCGAGCCGGTCCAGCACCACGTCCGTGTTGAACTGGTAGCGCGAGTCCGGTGGGCAGCGCGGGTCGCTCCCCCTGTCGCACTGCTTCCCGTCGCCCAGGTTCGCCACCAGGTACACACTGAGGTTGCGCGCCAGGCAGCTGAGCCTTGACAGCACCGAGCCCGGTTCCGGATCGTTTGCGCTTGCCCGGAGGAGGGGAGGAGGAGGAGGAGGACAGGCAATGCTATGAATCGATGTAGCTCCACAGCTGTCGCCAGTCACGGACTGGGACTAAATATCGGCCCAGGTATTTATAAATACACCGGCCCACATTCGGGCTATGGCCATTTTTTTTAATGGCTTGTGCGACAAGCTGCATACGAGTAGCCCGATGTGCGATGTGACAAATTCGCGTGATATTGCTGTGTGATCTCATTGGCCTATTTGAGTCGGTCCAATAAACAAATGGGCCGGTGAGAAGGATTCTTTCGGGCTGCTGAATATGGGGACTTAATGCCAACTGAGGGTGTAAATAAGCTATCAAGCGTACACTGTCGATGTAATTAAATGTAATGTTTTGGTTAAAAATATATATATATTATATTTTACTCTGATCACAATTTTCCCACACAGACCGGCCCATCGGCTCTCAGAATGGACCAGCCCACCGGAGTGCCCTATGGCCAGTCCGGGCCTGGCTGTCGCTGTGAAGGAACGACGTCAGTGGGACAGCAGAAGTTGTGTATGGTGCTGGAGAGAAATGTGTGTTACGAGTTGGCAGTTGACAGTTATTTTAATGGCAATACGGCAGCTGCCGGTGGTGGGGGGGTTACCGTTGTGAGATAAACGTTTTCCTTCTTGTGTACGATGGCAATTTGTGCGGGAGCTAAATGCCAATGTCGATACCTGCTGCTAGCCACGAGAGGACTTCAAGAGAGAGTTTGCGTGGTTTTGCTGTTCCTCCTCCAATGAAGGGGCGCAGGCTGCAGTGGTTTCACTACACGGTCCATAGCTTTGGTTGCATGGCCACAATCACATGACCGTGGCTTTCCTTTAATTTTCAATTTATGGAGGTGTGCCCATCGGCCTGTTGGTCTTCTGAAGCGGTTGATGGTTACACCGGTGTCTTTGAAGAGGTCACCTAGGAGTGGACGACGGGAGAATGACTTCATGCGGGAAGATAAACTCACCTGCGAGGTTCACAACTGGGAAGATGATGTGATCTTGCAGACGGATCTCTACCTGGGAGGTTGTTCACAGGGCACCCAGCCAAGCTGAGCGCTCGGATCGAGAATGTCCTCCATGTAGAACTGCGCCTCTTCCCGTGAGAGCGTCCATCCGTACAGGCCGTCCTCCGGACTCACCACGATGTCCGCTCCCTGGGTTGGGTGCCATGTGAGAGCGCGGGTGAGACCTCGCCTCGCGTGAAAGAGAGCTAGGGACGTCGACTCGTCATCTCGCGCAAGAGAGACAGAGCAAACGCGCAAAAACACGCACAGCAACATCACGACCCAAGCGTTGGAATCTCCCTCGGTGAATTAAGGGGTTACATTTTTATTAGAGGAGGGCAGATGGCTTGAAGGTTACAGAGCACTGAGCTGGCAGACTGCTGAGTCCTGGGTTCGAATCCAGACGTCAGCTGCCTCTGATTTCACCGGGTTTTCAAGTGTAGTATTGCACAAACAAAAAAACATATATATAGTTCTGCAACGTCCATTCAGCTAAATTCCAAACACACTCTCGCGGGCCCTGCTGAAGTTCCTGCGACCACTCCTTCGCTGCGCCGGTGTTAGCTTCAGCTCTTGTCTCAAGAGCCGAATGGCTCACAGGGCTATACCAAATAAATGGAACTATGAACTATGTCTCGAGGTGGCGCAGCAGCATCACCGTGCGAATTCTCGCGCGTTACATTTTAAACATCGTGTGCTTAAGTCATGCGTCTTAATGCGTGCAATGCCCAGCACGCGACAGGTGTGTACACACAGACACAGACAGACAAAAATGTATAGGTAATATAGGGGGCCGTCCATAAATGACGTGACGAGGGAGGGGGGGGGGGGGTTGAGAAATGTGACGTCACATCAAAATGCGCAACTTTAAATAAATCTAGAATTGTTATAACACTAATTGTTATAACAACACTCCTACAACATCAGTGTGCAGCGCCACATTGAATACGCACTGCAATGACAATAGTTTAAAGCTATTTAAAGCATGTTTTATTTTCAAAATGGAAATATGGTTTTTGGGGGGGGGGGGTGAGGCAGAGCTTTGCGACGTCATATTTGAGGGGGGGTCTGACTTTTTGTGACGCCGTGTGACGAAGAGGGGGGGGGGGTCAAAAATTGGCCATAATCGCGTGACGTCATTTATGGACGGCCCCGAGTACGATTCTCCAAATCCTACGAGAGTAATTATTGTGTGTTCTCTCCTATTGAGGTCGCCGAGCCCTTTTAAGTCCGACGTGTTGTTGTTGGTCGCACTGACCATACTGGTCGCATTGCGGATGAGAGGCTCCATGATGTCCAGGTTGCTGTGCATGAGCGTCAGGGCTTCTGCCCGCGTGGGCAGGGTCCCCTGTGCGCGTGGGGGCGGCAGGAGCACGGCATGCTCCAACACCGCCGCCACGAAGCGGCGTCCCGTGGAGCCCTGAGTAGCTCCCTGGGTGCCCCCCAATAGCGTGGCCAGGGTGAGGAGGGCACCGAACCAGCACCACCAAAAATGCCGCCGGACTTCCATCGGCAACACCGTTTGGACGTAACTGCACCTGCACACGTGCTGTTGGGTTTATAGGCGGTGGCAGGGGAGGAGGAGGGAGGGAAGAGCTAAGTATGTCGTTACTAGTTACTAGTTCAGCACACCGGTGTGTTGGAGAGTAGACCCACAACATTTACAATTCAAGTACGACGTTTCGCCAGTAATTACAACCAGTTTCATCAGTCGACAGGCAGAATTGTATACGTATGTTATATGTATGTTGAACTTTTTTTTTAGCACCGTACGTAGCCAACCATGCTAACCGGAGGTGCGGGGGAAAGACAGCAAACTAAACTTTGGCCCCCAATAGAAAATGGCTGACCTAATTGTAGCAGAGAATCCTACGTTATTTTTCATCGTAGCTATCAGCCGTAATCAATCCATTGCTGAAGAAATGCTTTAAGTCCAAATATCAAATGTGTTCATATTCTTAGTTTTTTCGGTAAAGTCACGTTGAAGAGAAACAACAAAATAACAAAATATATATAAAACAACGTGACTTTACCGAAAAAACTAAGAATATGAATTACTGCAGTCACGAAAGCTTTAAATCAAAAATCAAATGTGTTGTTCATCGAATCAAAACGTCACTGCTCTGCACAAAATACAGTTACATTCGGGTAAAGTTTATGTTTTTGAAATATAATTGTATGTTTACACGGATGGTATACTTTACAGTGTTGTCCTTCTTTTGGCTGCCACTCCTTAATTGAGCACGTCCGCCGACGAGATGGAGTGATGAAATCAGCTTCGCTTGCAGGTGCTAGGTTGATTATCACATGGCAGAATGATATGGGATGGCGTCGGTGTGGTCTTCATCGAGCAGGGAATTGACCATGGCTGACGATGCTATTGCGTTGGCGTTGTAAGCCAAATTACAAATTCCTTTCTCAATAACAAGTGCATTGCCTCATTTGGAAGACCATGCAGAGTAATCCAGAGAAAACCCAATAGGTAATAAGAGGGGATAACACTTAAAACACCGCACGGACGGATTTAGGATTCACGACTCCAATTCCTGTACTGCCATAACCTCATCGCCAGCCCAACGATGTTCGGAAATCTCACAATGTTTACATGATCCACCAACCCTTATCTCCAGAGAGTAGAATCGCATTTGAACGTCACCGCACCTATAAAACTATAAACAACTTTTTTTTATTTTACCAGGTAAATGTGGAGGGGAAAACCGGAGGACCTGGAGAAACATCCACGCGACCACGGGGAGAACATGCAAACGCCACATATAAAACAGGCGTAAGGGTATCTGGATCGAACCCATGACCTCCTGCATACCAGACGTGAAAGCTAACTTCTCGCCACTGTGGCGCCCTCATTATATCAGCACGTATAATACTTTAAGCAAGTCAGTAAAATCAAGTTGATGCACGGATTGTGTACAACTCCAACATGCATTTCAGCAAAACTAAAGCGATTAGTGAAATATACATTTGCACCTGGTTTTTAGTTTTGTTTTGCACTGGTTTGGGTTTCTGAGGTATTTGAGCAACGCTCTCATCAGTTTGGCCGGTTTAAAAAAAAATAGATAATCAGTCCTTAAGTGGCAATGCGGCTTTACAACGAAGTTTCAGACAGGCGGACCGAGAAAATGCATATGCAGCGCCATCATATCCCGAGCCACCTGCTGGGATGACTCCCAATCCATCTCCCTGCGTATCCCCAAACTTGGGACTACTCCTCTAGCCCCGAGCTAGCTGCTAGACCTCGTGCTTTTTTTCTTTTAAAATCCGGGTCTCTGGGTGCTCCGTTTTCCTTCCACGTGTATAAACACTCATTAATTGTCCGAAAACACCTTAATATCGAGTATGTGTGCGTACGTTGAACATCTTTCGCAACACCGCACGGAGTCGACCGTGCTAATCGTGTTAAATCTTGTGTTTACTCATGAATTTGGAAGTTTTTTAGTGACCCCTGCTTATTTATAGCAAGGTGATGGTTTTGATTGGGTCCTCAGATGGTTCTTTCCCAACGGTTGAGGTGATAGCTTTACGGATTGTGTGGTCTGGATATCCATTCATCTTGAGAACTTGGTGTACATGTTCCAGTTCACTGGCTCGGTGATGATGGTCGGAAATACATCGAGCTCTATGGTGTAGAGCTTTGGGATGGATGGTGGTGGGAGTCAGGTTTTAGTTAGGCATCCATATGGGTGGCTTTCGTGTAGACAGAGTGTCCCATTGAGCCATCTGGTCTCTTTTCGATGAAAACATCCAAGAATGGTAACTTTTGATTTAAAGCTTTCGTGACTGCAGTAATTCATATTCTTAGCTCTTTCGGTAAAGTCACGTTGAAGGGAAACAATAAAATAATAAAATATATTTTATAATGGTAACTTGCCATCCTTTTCCACCTCCATGGTGAATTTTATGGCTGGGTGTATGGAATTTATGTGGTTGAGGAATTGGTTCAGAGCTGGTCGGCCATGTGGCCAGATGATGAACGTGTCAGCTATGTACCTCTTCCACAAGGACGGACGTAGACTGGATTCCTGGATGGCATCTGTCTCAAAAAACATTTTTCCATGAAAACATGGGCTACAACTGGAGATAAGGGAGAACCCATTGGGGTACCTTCAACTTGTTTGTCGAATGTTCCATTCCAGGTTAAGTAAGTGTTGGTAAGGCAGTCTCACCAGGGCCAGTACATCAGTTGCTGACATTTGGGCTACACCCATTTCAAACCCTTATAAACAATTTGCCTTGGAGGCTAACCCCCTTTTTCCTGAAGACGACCACTTGTTTTGTGATGGAAACGTCGTAGTTTTAGTACATTTTTGTTATTTTCTTTGAACCTATCTACATGACTTTACTGAAAGACCCAAGAACACAGAGTATAATTGTATCTTGTGTAAATATAATGGCAGCGAATCTTGCACGAAAGTATGTCAACAAATACTTCACTGCATTTCACTGAAGCACTGTATTAATGGCAGTGATTATTGTACAAAACTACGTCATAAAACACCTCACTTCATGTTAGGTGTATTTAACTGACCTTTAAATTATTCAAATTCACTGCTCTTATACTTTATTTTCTCCTGCTTTCGCTCGCTGGGGTTTAAATAAATTGGAATTCGATACAATATCTGGAAAATCACCGAGAAACGTCTATTTTATGATAATTTAGAAGCATAAATTAGACTTACATTTAGTCTCAAGTGCAGAAGAAATAAATAAAGGCACCAAATGGACTCTGTTGCTGCGTATAACTATTTATTTTAATCACTTTAAAAAGAGAAACGTCAAACTTAAGGCGAATTTGCGAAAGAAAGTTTTTCTTTCCGCTCGACCTGCGTGAGTGTAAAAATCCACCCACTCATGATTATTAATGAGGGGAGGAGGGGCCTCATGTGGAGGACCCCACCTGTTCATGATTATTAATGAGGGGGGCTGGTCGACGTGGAGTGACGTCACGCGCGTTAAACACAGACATTCTTAGCTCATTAAATTAGTAGTAATTGTATGTACCCCCCCCACCACACATAGTTTTGCAATATCCAGAGCATGATGGACACACACTTGCAGATCATATATTTATCTACACTTGTCCCTAGTTACTTCTAAAAAGACGCAGTCGGGTTCCGATTTCTACTCCCACCACAGCGTCCCCTGATTGTTCAGACCCATCTTCTACCCCGACTCTGTTTTTTGACCAGCATTGAGATTTGACGACGTCTTATAAATAAACTCACCTCAACGGCAGGCTGATGATCCTCTCTCTCTCTGTGTCTCTTACCGGTGTTGCTGCGCAGTCTGTTTATTAGTGGAGTCTGTCTGCTGCCCTTTGTCCCTATTACATGGTGGCAAAAGAGGGATTATATGCTGCTTTCTGACTACGCCGTCTATCAACACACTCTGCACTTCGAACCCAGCGAGCCGAATTTTAAATGTCGGTCCTCTCCCCTTTGTCTAGGTTCGATTGAGCCTTAAATGAACACCGTGTGTAAAACATCAGCACTTGGGGAGACAAAGGCCGTCGTGCGTGCTTTTTGGCCACACTATCCCGGTCGTGCAGCATGCCGATTTTATTTAAAAGTAAATTGATTTAATTGGTACCCCCCAAGAGTCTGTTATGAGAGGCTTTGTTGATTTTTACAAATTTTATACCCGCACCTCCGGTTAGCACGATTGGCTACGTACGGTGCGAGAGAAGTTCAACATACATACTTACGATATTGTGGGTTTTCTGGCCTGCACTATTATTCTGTTATGAAGGGCTTTACAGGTTTGGTCACGGGTCTGTTCGAGGCGATACGGGGTGGAGATTTGCTGTCTTTGTTGCTTGTCAATGTCGCTTGCGTTGGCCAATTTTTTTTATGATGTCCGATGAACGATGTTCAACAGCTAGTTCGCTCTTTCTCAGTGTGTGAGAAAGAGCACGCGTTGACGGGCCTGGGGTTTCACCCGCGTTTTCACTCTTTGTGTTGCAAAGTCTGATTGTTGATTAACCTTGCAAGCCACATCTTTTACAGTCTGGGAGAAAAAAAACCCAAAGCCCATGTTACTTGATAACTTTGTGACAAACACACGTTACGCAAGTCAGATGTTGCTGTTGTTTTAACGTGTACTTTAACGCGGAATGGAATTGATTTGTATTTATTACATTCCACGTAAAAAAAAATCCATTCCATACTATGTTTTTTTTTCCATTCCACGTATGAGTGTATTGTTTGTAAAGTAGGAGGCTCACATTCTGACATACTCCGCTACGAGATTGTCTTCACATTGAGGTCAAGGATTATATATATCGGTCCAGTCCCGGTTCATTCACGATTCTCTGCGATACGATTCGTTGAATCGTCACTATTCGATGTCGTTAATCGATGTAATTCTAGATTATTAATTTGTTGGCATCTGGGGTGAATGTAGCTCTTCTACTATTGGCTGCAGGGGTTACGTAAACAAGTTAACGAAGTGGCTTATCATGTGGACATTTAGAGCAGCCAAATACTCTAAACGCATTATTTTAAATGTGGGAAAAAATCTCCAAATATACCTCCTTAATATAGTTTTTTGGGTTAGATCGCGTAAATGTGTGGTTAAACCCACCACCACCCGACACAGCAAATTAACTACTATAATGAGCCAAGAATGTCTGTGTGTCCCGTGCGTGACGTCACTCCATGTCGACCAGCCCCCCTCATTAATAATCATGAACAGGTGACATCCTCGAAATGGACCCCCCTCATTAATAATAATTAGTGGGTGATGTCATTCTACATGGGGGGGCGAGGCGCCTCCTTCCCCCTCCTCGGCGTCCACTTACAACCCTCACTACAAAGGTAGAACCCTCACGTCACGCGATCTCCGTAACGCTATTGAGACATAGAAGTAAAAAGGACGTCATGATGAACAAGGGATTATAACCTTTACATGAATTAAGTCTGTGTCGCCGCTGCCTTACAAATTGCGCACGAATTGATACAATGAATATCACGTCGCGGTCCACTTTTCGCTTGCAAGTTTCATATTTACTGCAATACACCCGTCCTTGGACAGGCAAAAGGCTAGTGAGTAAGGTTTGTCATGTGTGGGGCCCGACGTCCACCCCACAGCCCTCGCTAGGCAGGTGGGGAGCAACGTCCGCCCATTCCGCTCCCTCCTCCACTGCGTCGGTTGGCTCCCTCCGGACCCCCGCCGAACGAGTGATGGGGCCCCCCGCACTAGCGCCCTCTCTGAAGGACATACTCGTGCTGCTGGCTCGTGGCCACACGGAGTTAGACCACACACCCGTGCACACCGCAGCTACCGCTAACACAGAGGGGCACGAACGCGCTCGAAGATGTCACTTGGGTCGTGAAAGCCCTACGTGTTAAACACACGACCTCCTGCATAACAGGCGAGGTACACAGTTGTTGACATCTTGCCACCGTGGCGCCAATGCATACGGCCTGGAGCATATATCGTAAGCGTGAAAATAGTTGCGATCGACGGATCGTCGTCGCACGTTTATTAAAGGTGCAAAATTCAACGCAATGCGTCAATAGGCGGCGTATAGAGCAACTGCCCATCCTTCATGTGCTAGGAGTTATTGTTTGTGCTTGCGCACCGAACTTGACGCATTGCCGCCTAATAATGCGTTTTAAATTGAAAACGGACCGTACCGAGTGCGATGTAAGCCTCTGGTCTGGCATACAAAAAAATCGCCATTTTAAATATTCACGTGCGGTACTCAGCCCCGTGTGGCCCGGCTTTATATGCAAATGTACGATGCTGTGATTGGTTCTCTGGGTGGAGAAGGCGGGGCCCGTCGAGGCGCGTGCGTGCGTGCGCGCGCTCCAGTTTTCTCCACATTTCATTGGTCGCTGAGTTTGGTGCGCGAGCGTTAGTGATTGGCCGTCGTCGTCGGTGTGGGCTTCGGCGGGGAAGGGGGTTGTGTCGCGACCATTTACATTTGATTGGCCGCCGAGTAAAGTGGGCGCTTCCTTCGAGAGAGGTTCTCGAGATGTGATTGGTGGACTGGCGGCTCGGTGGGTGAGACACCGTTCTCACGCGGTGTGATTGGCGGACGGCGGCTCGGTGGGCGGGGCAGCGCGCTGCTGTGCTGAGCGCGCGTGTTTCCCGCGCTTTTAAGAGATCCTCCCCCGATCGGAGTTGTGACCGCCATGTGGAACGATCAGGGTGAGTGGCAACTGTCCACAACAATAACAGTAAACAGCAGTAATAAACAACACTAACATACCTCGACGCTGACGGGAGGTATCGTGAAGATGAAGTGTTGATAAATAATGTGCGTGGCGGCGGCGGCGGCGGCGATCCACAAGGCCCAAGGCTCACCTGCCAAACAGGGCCGCGGCTACTTTAATCGCATTGTTGTTGTATTTACGCGTTATTAGCACAGTGTTTGTCAGACCGTAATTCTTTTACGGCCATTATTTGTTGCAAATGTGTACTTTGCCTCAGTGGTGCGTCTTTATAGTTAATGGCAATACAAAAAAGTAATCGCCGTCAACCATGACCCAATCCACTGCTAGAAGAAGGCCTAACCGGGAGCTGTCGCCATCTCGTACGGTCGAGTGGTGGAATATCCCATTGGAGTGCCGATCGCTTCATCTCCGCGCCGGTTGTAACACCGGGGGACGTGTTCTCTTTTTCTCTCTCGCTTGCAACTACCTCGTTCCTCTCGACCTACCATTTGCCCAAGCCCCCCCATGGTATGGTTTGAAATGCTGTCGTGCTGGGTGGCAGCAGCAGAAGCAACCGTGAGGGTGGCAGGGTTGGTGGAGGTGGTTGTGTGTTGGGCGCAACACGAGGAGATGGAGCGATTAAATGAGAGTCCCCCCTGTGGTGCGACAGTTGGAAGGGGATTGTTGCGGGAGGGAGGGGAAGGGCCCGTACGGCAGTGGACAAACTATGGCCGATACGTTTGTTTGCATTTCTTTTTCAGTGTATTGTACACGCGTTTCTTTGCGGCGTTATAATAATGAACAGCTTCGTTTGCTTGCTTAGCCTCTGTTTCGTATAATTTGTGTACGTAGTTTGCACACAAATTGGGAATTATTGACTACGAATCATTTTGTGTATCACGACCGTGTGGTTTGACGAAGCTCTTGCCTTGTGTACATGACTGCTCCTGTGTTTTTTTCTCCCCCCACCGCCCAACCAACCAGGCTACGATGGAGGATTTGCAGAATCTGGCCGAGGAGGTGGAGGGGGATACATGCAATCCCAGGGGGGATTTGGAACTCCTGGCTCCACGCAGAACAACGAGCGAACCCGGGTACGTGTTTGGAGCCGAGCTCATTCGTGATGTGTAAATGTGTTGAGGAAAAACATGTGGTCTGTGGAAAACACCGGTGGTTTGCACAACTTTTGCAGATATTTTTTTCTTCAAACGCCCTTGTTTTACCGGCCCATTCTACAACCATTGAGAATGTATTCAAAACTCATAAACTTAGCTGCCTATTGACTAAATCTGCTGGTTTGTGGCATTCGTTATTGATGAACAATCTTAATTTTGAAATGTGTTGGTGCGTGGTAGTCCACACATACATTTTGTTGAGGTTTGACAGTGGTGCCCGGGTCTGGAAACTTGTAGATTGCGTGGTTTCCTCCCGATTACTCTGGTTTCATCCCACAAGAAAGTTTTGCATTCAGGAATTTGCCATGCATCCCAGTACAATACTTTAATGGAAAAACATTTTTCCGACTCAAACGTTTCTCGCATGAAGGAACTATTTTCAGAAACATGGACTCTGACACAGACATTGCAACAGGCTAAAAATTGTGCCAAATATCACGCTCAAGTTCACACTTAGATTTACACTGGGAGACACAAAGAGGAACAAATTGGTAATTAAACGTACTCTTTGGTTCTATTCGGTAAAGTCACGTAGGTAAAAAATAAAACAACAAAAATCACGACGTGTCGGCCACAACACAAGCGGCCTTCATCAGGTGAAGGGACCAGACTGTCTCGAGGACAGCGCTGGAGTGAAACACAGCCAAGCTGTCCTCGACAGTCTGGTCCCTTCACCTGATGAAGGCCGCTTGTGTTGTGGCCGACACGTCGTGATTTTTGTTGTTTTATTTTCTACCAACGTGACTTTACCGAATAGAACCAAAGAGTATGGATCCTTGCAGTCACGAAAGCTTCAAATCTATAATTAATTAAACGTACACAAGTTAGAGATACGTCGACCGGAAGGAAAAATAAGTTGGTTTGGGCGTGACACATCACTAGAACTGATGTCCAATGGTCGAGACTAATGGCATACTGACAACCAAAGGAGAGAATGTGCTCGAGGGATGGAGAAATTTTATCAGCTCATGTCAAGGTACTACGCGGATCGTTGCATCGCAGGACTATGAGGCTTGGTGATGACGTGAGGTCTCCATCCAGAAGTTAATTGATCATTGGTAATTATTCGCAGAAAAAATAAACAACAGGTGCATATTTCAGGTGATTGCCTTTACATTGAGAGGGTGCAGGCTTTACACTGGATACCATAGTTGTATACAACACATTCTGATGTGTTGAAAATACTCTATTGTCTTCAAAGTTCAGTTGCAAAGCATTGCGTATTTAAATAATGTTTTGTTACTAATTGTGTTAACATTCCAATTGTTTAAATTGGACAGGGTGGCACCGTGTCATTAATCAATATAGAAGCAACGTTTTTGGTGGATTGACAAGATTGGGATACTCCCTACCTTGCTAGGCTGTGATGTGGCCAGGAGATGGCAGTACACCATTATGGATTGCGAACTCGGAGTGATCTTGAGTTTTATTCAAGTACACCGCATCGGTGGTTTTCTTCCAGTACTTCTGTTTCCTCCCAAACACAAACTATAAAAATAAATTATCCAAACTTCTCAATGCAGGACCCTCCTAAAAACAAGTTTTGAAACTCATTGTGCGTCATGGGGTTATTTGATCATACATCACGAAGCTGGTCAGTGTAGGTTGTTGAAGGCAGGTGGGTTGGTGGGCAGCGTGCATTCAGATCCATTTCAGATATAACTTGATTCTGATGTTAGTTGTGTCAGGGAATCAAAACTGTGTTATCGGGCTTCATAATGCAGTGCACTAACCACTGAATTGCTGCCCCCCACCCATCATTATTACACAACGTTTAATCAGATAAGCATGTGCCCCATTGCTTTTTGCACAAGGTTACTGTTTCACTTCCCACAGAGCCCCCACAGAGCAGACAGTGAGCTCAAGCTGCTATAAGAGGCCGAGAGAGAGAGATGTCATTCCAGTGGCGCGAATGCCTCGGATCAGTTCACACGTCTAAAGTCACGCGCTTTTTCGTAAGCACCCGGTGTTGCATCATGAGTAAATGTTACCGCGGAGGTCATGTGTATCACGACGGTGATTTACCGCCTTCCTCCCGTGCGCACGCGTGTTTCAATTTTTACCCACAGAGGCCGCGCGTGCAGCATTTGATTCCTTGCACCGGGGCTCAGCTCATGGCTGCGCAGCAGAATGATGACATGTTCTGTCTCGGTGATATCGACCTCAACCAGGTAATTGATTAAACTATGAAACATTTTTTTTATTATACCAGGTAAGGCTCACTGAGCTATATAGCTCTTTTTTTGTCGAAGTGACCTGGCCAAAAATGATTGCTCAACGAAGTGGCTTATCATGTGGAAATTTACAGCAGCCAAATTTTCTAAATGTGGGAGGAGAATCCAAGCGACCACAGGGAGAGCATGCAAACTCCAATTGTACAGGCATCAGGATCGGAATCGAGCCCATAACCTGGATACCAGGTGAGGTAGTTAACATCTCGCCACGGTGGCATCCCAAGAACTGAGCTTGCTTGTCCAAAGTTGATCTTCTGATGCCGCTTTTACCCTTGGCACAAATGTGCCAAGCGAGCCCGAGACCGACACGGTTATGGGTGTTTTTTTACGAAGCCTTTGCTGGGCATGAGCATTGGCTTTTTCATGTGTGCTTCAACTATGAGTGACCAATATGGGGCATACTTAATTCCTAGAATTGGTGTTTGACTATCAGGGAGGAGCGGAGGGCAGTGGAAGAGTGGATAGAGACAAGTGCGGGACTTGGCAATGCTAACATGGGGGCCTTTGGAACAAATAAGATTTATTTGACCCTGCACATTAGTTTTTTTTATATTCTGAAATCAAGACCAGACAGTTAAAGTCAATAATGCATGCATATGATTTTTTTTGGTTTATAGCTGTTAATAGCACATGTATATAATGTGTACGCTCGCATTAGATTTAAAAAGTATTACAATTCCGAGCTGCTGACAGTCCCAGTTAGGATTTACCTTGCTGTAAAGTTAATCCCAAAGTTCCAAACAATTGGGGGATGTCTTGGGCAAACCTGATAACTGACATGTATATATATTTTTAAAACCCATATTTGGGTTTGGAACGATTTACAATCCAATTTCTATATAGCATTCCCACAGATGGCTGCATAATTAACTTAAGTTTTCAATCCATTTCATCTATATACTCTCAACTTAAACCTACTCTTTGAAAATTAGATTTTTTTTTTGTATCTCTGTTGCTAAGCACAGGTCCAAATACCCAAAATGCCAAGCAGCCAGCAACAGTACATTTGTGGGTTATCAATATTTCCAGGATACCCCTAAGTGAAAGTGGCAGAACCGTCCTTCAGCTTGGCAGGCAGCCTTAACGTTTGGAACAAGAACAGATCAGGTAAGAAAAATGCAAACAGCTTGGAGGCAGTGATGATGCACTGAGGCAGCACGAACAGATGGTCATAAAAAAACCCAGGGATTGAGAAGTAGGGAGTTGGAGTGGCACCAGGAGCCCGAGTCTGGATTTCATGACGTCGCTGTTTTTTAACCCTCTTGGCCGTTGGCCCCTCCTCGCAGGTGACCATGGTGGGGCTGGTACGTCAGGCAGAGAAGTCGCCCACGAACATCCTGTACAAGGTGGACGACATGACATGCGACCCGCTGGACGTGCGCCAATGGGTAGACGCCGATGTAAGTGCTCACTCGCCACCATCGGTTTTGAAAGTTTTTATTGGTGTGTGACCAGGGCTTAGTGTTTTTTTTCTGAAATTTTTTCCAGGTTTTTTGTAGACTGCAGTCGTAGCCATAGCGAGAGGTATACTTAATGTGGTGTGCCAGGTGTGGAAATATATTCTGGGTCATTTACTCGGATATAGGCCTGGCTGAAAATAAGCCCTACATGTAATAAATCATCTGCCCATATCGCAATTTGATGTCATGGTTCAACTTAAGAACAGAGTTATTTTATGTTTCGTATTTGCTCTCTCTTTTGTGTTGTCCGTCTGGTGTGTTCTGTCTCTTTCATTTATTTAACATTTAGAATATTTTTCACACCGATGAAGGGACTCTATAAAGGCAGATGTTAGAGCTTGGGTGTCGCGGTGATGAGATGTTAACTCCCTCGCCTGGTATGCAGGAGGTCATGGGTTCGATCCCGACCCTGACGCCTATATATTTGGAGTTTGCATGTTCTCCCCGTGGTCGTGTGGATTTTTATCCGGGTCCTCCAGTTTTTCCCTCCACATTCAGAAACATCCATTTAAAGTATTTGGCTCCGAAATTTTCCACGTGATATTCAACTTAGTTGAGCTATTATTTGTGGCCAGGTCGTTTCTGAACAAGAGCTGGTAAAATAAAAAATGTATTTCATAGTTTAGGGTGTCAACTGCTCAAAAGCACAAGGAAGGAAATCCTATTAGCGTTGTGGCATTGTTGGCATTGGCCATTATGACCTCTTGGCCTTGTTACTGGGGTACATTAGGCTGCAATGCTCATTGTTCGATTGTGGTGATTCAACAAGCTCCCCTCCACCACCCTCACCCTCCTTACCCGTCTTGTTTTATTGCCGCAAGTAAAGTTCCTCTTGAAAATCGTTGCCGATTGAATTCCCTTTGTAGGAGGAAACTAACGAGAATAATGTTGTGCCGCCTGGGACGTACGTCAGGGTCATTGGACACCTGCGCTCTTTTCAGGTACGTTTAAAGTATTTCTGTGATCGTCATCACGAAAATGCGCATTCCGTATTGTCATCGTTAGCCATTGTCTATGCACTGCTGGATGGAAACCTTCCCATGAGTTCACTGCCTCTTATGGGCCTGCAGTGCCGTTATTATTTTTGCCTTTGCACGAGAGCTGATTTCGTCACTCCATCTCCGTGGCGGTTAGACTATCGGGCGCGTTCTCTCCTTAGCTGTTCCATCAGCTGTCTCGTCCATTGGCCATCATCCCCCGTAGCGATGCCATTCAAAGCCTACTTCCTTTTCTTAACAGGCAATATGACGTCTTTCGCTTGCCAACTGATACAATGTGTTCCTCTTCCAATATTCTCACTAAATCCTAAGCATGCACCTCTCCATGCTTTTTTGCACACTTTTCAACGTTTCCTTTTTTTTTGGTCGGCCTCAATATTTGTAATCCATATATCATATCCAGCAGTATGCAACGGCTGAAAAGGTTTCTGTTCTGGCACAATAATGTGATGGTTGTCATCAAGTTCAGTTTTCCATTAACTGTGGTTATAAGCATAAAACTGGGATTGAGTGAATTTTGACTCCTTTGTCAGAAGTGATTTCCTGCTCAAATTTACATTGATGCGGTGCTCATATCCCATGAACAACCTTGAGCCAAGGGTGGAAATTCCTCATTCTTATTGTGGGGGCGAGTATTCTAAGGACAACCACTGTTGACTTATCAACAAACTGGTACTTATTTTATCGACCCAGGAGGGTGCTGGAGTCACATTAACTCCAGTTGGACCTGATAATGATTTTGCTTTGTTATCGCTTAAAATAATGCATCTCTTTACTCTGCCACCTCTGTAGTGGTACATGTAAGTAGCATGCAAGAATTGTGTCCTCTGCATCGTCTCTCCTGCTTGTCTGATGAGTTTGCTGAATTGCAGTTAAATGGCCCAAGAACCTTGATATCAATTTTTAACATTTGTTGCCGCTCAAAAATATATTTTCTTGTCGCTGCGTCACGCCGTACGCAGATGGCCGATGACCAAATCGCTGAGAATGCACCTGATATAATCAGATCTCGGAAGCTAAGCAGGGTTGCACTTGCTTGAATGGTCCACCACATTTTGAAACAGGTGTTATGGGCTGCAGTAGAGTTGTACTACATTGAGGGGCACAGTGCAGTGTAGCAATATTAATTATTGTACTGTCCCTCTTTGCTCTATCATCTATACACTGCCCTTCTTAACCATCCCGCGCTGACCGCCGTGGTGAAGTAGGGGTGGGCGGTTGAATGTCGACGTGACATCTTAGGCAGCGTGGGGAGCAGCGGTACCAAGCGGTAGCTGATCTTGTGCCATTTCTTGTTCGGTGCAGAACAAGAAGAGCCTGGTGGCGTTTAAGATCCTGCCACTGGAGGACATGAATGAGCTGACGTGCCACATTCTGGAGGTGGTGCACTCTCACATGGCTCTGGGCAAACCGCCCGTCCCGGCCGCTGCCGTGAGTTGGAGCTGGGGGTCACACGCAGTACACACGCAAGATAACAATCAGTATAGCCTACACGCTAGTGATTCCCAACCTTCCTGGAACCGTAGACCACAAAAACCATCAACTCACTGCATTTATAAACAATTTAATGAAGGTAGCTGCCAGGTTTAAAACCAGAATCTCAATCTCTTGACATGGCTATTGTAACCTCGTAAACTGTGTGGCTCTGTGGTAGGAGCAAAGGCTTGTGGTTATCAGCACATTAAAACTGCCTTCCCAAAATTTTACCTCACCTGAACGAGATTCTCTTGACAATTTGTATATTTTTTTCGGTCAAATGTGCTGTCAATTCCTTCTAAGTGGATTAAGTTGCCAATTACAATTTTTTTTTTACATTTACACATTTGGCAGTAATTTCAATTTGAAGGTATGTGCTCATTTTCATGAGTGAATTCTCCATAACCTTGATTTTATAATGTCATGGCCCCCATCAGGGCAAAATGGAGTGAATGTAAATTGATCAATCCACTAACGGGAATGTCCAAAGTTCATGCAGAGCCCAGGACGTGTATATTGTTATCATTTACGTTCAAGTGGTTCAGTACTTGCTCGATGGGAGATCGATCGTTCCATCTTGGCGACAGTGCAGCTGATCGAGAGTTGGTGGCTGGGCTATGGGTGTGGATGGGTTTTGGGACTCCGTTCCAAGGCGCGACGTGCGGCGTTTGTCTTGCAGTCCATTGCAGTGACAACGTCCATGCCGTTGAACACGTCCTTGAAGCAGTCAGCCGCCGGGACTTTGCGTGCAGACAATGGACTCGCGCAGCACCAGACCAAGGTGAGAGAAACCTTGCCGCAGCGCTCGCATCGCGCGACCCGGGATGTCAACACGGCCAGCGCACAGCGGAGGCAAATTGATCTCGTTTTTGTTATGCATTTACCTTTCCATCTCTCGTTGATTGAATCCAGATGGCCATCACCGTCTTCAAGGTCCTCCATGAACCCCTGTCTAACTCTCTCGTCATCTCACTCTATTCCCCTTAATGTACTCTCCTAACTCTCCCCTATTATCTCACTCTACTCCCTTCCATGCACTATCCTATCTCATCTCACTCTACTTTCCTCCACTACCTATCATACAGCTCCCCTCTTATCTCAGTCTACTGCCCTCCAAAATATCCTACATGTCCTCTCATCTCACCCGACTTCTCTCCATACTCCTGCATCTCCCCTCAGCTCTACCTGATTCCCTCCAAACACTCTCCTACATATCCCCTCTCACCAACCCACCTTATTTCCCACTTCACGCTCCTCTGCAGCAACTAAGGCTATATCGAAGTCCCCAGTCAATCTTTGCTCAGTGGGAGATGGCTCTTCTGTCTCCACTACCGCTCCCATGATTTCGATTTCCTTTCCTCCTATGGACTCCCTGACTCTGTTAGAGTCCAGGATCGAGACATTTTTGTGCTCTGTCTGTGACTGACTGCCTCCTCAATCGAATATAAATTTCTCGACTGTTTCTGTACAGTGCCTTAAGAGCTAGTCACAGATGTTATAGAAATCCACATTGTATTATATTATTTCCCACGCAGGTGCTCACTGTGATCCGGAGCTGCCACAGCTCAGAGGGCATGAGCATGCAGGAGCTGAAGAGTCGAATCCCTGGCATGAACCCCGGTTTACTCAAGTGAGTGAGCTGTACACACCACCAAAAAAACAACCCTTAGCAGTACAGGCTGTTGGGCACAGTGCTGTTCATGAACACATGAAGGCCGGTATGGCACGCAATGGGGTGGTTTGGTCAGAACCACCACCCCCCCCACTTGACCTCCTTTGTCTCTCCAATGCTGATGTTTACACATTGCACCCAGTACTCATTTAAGGCTGAGTTGACCTAGGAGGGTCCAAGGACCGGTTGAGCCTGAGACACACACACACGCATGTACACGAGGTAAGTAGCAATTCAAGGAGTGTCCTGTTAAAACTTGATACTGCACTGCAGTGATTTTGTCCTTTTTTGCTAACACAGGTCACTTGCAAATGACTCATCCTGGTCTCTTGACTTCTCACTTGGTTAAACAAAGTAAACTTTAAGCGTTATTGTATATATTCTCCCCACAGATGGGCCGCACAATGAATTTGATAATTCACTTTTTTCATCTCCTTAATCCTCCATCTACTGTAGAATGGGAAAAAAATGGGTAAAAAGAATAATACATTCAAACCGTGACAATTCATCAAACCACTGGGGGCTTGGGGTAGCATGAATAGCAACATCCCTTAAGCCCAGCGCTCATGGCCCACCCACAGTGAAAGCTCAAAGCTGGTTTTATCTCACAGTAACTGCTGCTTGAATATACGCACTTGGAACGTGCGCGTGCAAGGTCATCGTGTGCGCACGACGCACCTGTGCAGCCTGCACAAAGAGGACTGGATTTCCTTCTCAGAGCATCGCAATCATGGAAGCTTGAGAGTGCAGGCGCAGTTGGGGTGAATGTCGTCACCTCTGCCCTAGTTAGCGCTGCAGCGTTGCACATTTTTCACGCGCAACGCAGACTTGAAGTTGGGCTATTTAAAAGGTCCACCGTGTACATCTGTAAAAGCCCAGATCGCTCTGGAGATGTTAGGCTTTCAATCGCTTGAGTGCAAGCGCTGCAAACCGTTAAAGAAATTACTTTGTTCCGTGTCTCCACGTGTAAATAAAATATATTTTTAGTCCATCGGCATATCATTTGCATTCCAGGCCAATATCAAGCAGCATTTGTTTAAGCAAGCGACCTCTAGACCAGTTTTAACCTTATGGGTCTCATCAGCAGAGTCAGTGTAACATGGTGCTGGGATGCCAAATGTTATTTTCAATTAAAACAAACTAATATTGGTCTGGAAAGCCAATAGACCATTGGAAGATAAATATTTGTATGTACATGTGGAGACGCTTAAATTCACTTTTACCTGTAATGCTCCATAAGAATGGATATAATAATAAGTTCGCCTAAGCCTTCAGAGAGTTTTGTGGACACATCCGTGTAGAAGAGTCAGTCCCAGAGGAATGATGTGTTTATTTTTGTATGCGGCGTGTTTGTATGACATTCGTTGAGGATGTGATTGGAGCGTGCAGGCTACATACACTCGCTTGCTGTATGAGCTCGTGTGCTTAATTTACAAGGTGTTTTTGAAGTATTTTTTTTATGATGCCTATTTTTATTGGGCACTTTTTTTGTGCGAGTCAAGTGTTTATTCACACTCCTAACAGTAGTTGGCTTACGCAACAGATAACTGGGTTTTTTGTTTGTCTGCATGAGAGGAACCGATCGTTTTGTCTAATGCCTTATATATAAAACGAGAAATGATCAACATGGAGTTGAGTTCACGGTGGTTTCAGTAGAGCGAGTGGACACGTAGAGTTTTTAATGATGAATCGTTCTTTAATTGTTTGGCGCTTTGGCCGCGAGTCTGAAATAACGGCGAGTCGATGCTGAGACTGCTGTCGCGACACCCCTGGGGAGGGCTTGTTTGACGCATCGTTGGGAGGCAGTTTGACGGCGGGTTGAGGGGGTAAAATTGGAAAGAATTGGCCTGTGGGGGCCAAGGCAGCTTGGCCTTCGAGATGTGAACATGAAGGGGGTTTCCTGTGTAAAGTGAGAAGCCTGAGCAAGGGGTCGTGACCCTGTCATCCCTGGCCCCTTACGCATTCGGGCCTGGGTTGTGGAGGTAGTCCTGGAAACGTGGCTTATTTCGATAGAACGTACCAATGGAAATATGTATTTATATTTAGATGGTATAGATAGTACAGCATGGTGAAGCAAGTACGGTGTGGGCATCTAGTTCTTCCACTGCTATACGAGGTTCACTCTACACTGTAGTGAGTCCATGAGGGTTATTTGAGCTTACTTTACCACCCTGGTCAGTATGGGTCAGTTAGAGGTGGTGAGCATAGATGCCGGAGCGTAGTACAGTGCACAGCCCCCTGTCTATAACACCTGTTATGCATGGTGGCCACTCATCAAAGTACTATCCAGGTCCAAAGCTGCTTGGCTTCCGAGATCGAGTGCATTCCGTGCTACGATTTGGTCATGGGCATTTGTACGGATACATGCACACAAATATGCAGACACCAATGCCATTTTTTTTTAAACTTGCAGAAGCAGAACTTTGATAATTTTATTTCAAGAGGCATAGCACCGTTGTTTTGAAATACATTGTACTCACCGCAGAGAACTGCAGTGACATGACCGCACTCTATGATAGCTGGTGCCAAACTGCTACACGCCCTCCTGCATGGCCTTTTGGGAGCCTCGGTACCAATAAACTTATTTTATTTTTTCTTCCGGTTTCGTTTTGATTATGTATATGTATGTCATCGGAACGGTATCGGAAGAAAAACTTGTCATCGGAACAGGAAAGGGTTTAATACATTTTTTTTACTTTTGTTTGACTGGGCCAAGCAGCCTTGCTGCATATACCATCCTTTTATTGGTTAAGAGTCATTTGATTTTTGAGGTTTCAACTTCTGTGATTAAGTCATTTTCATTATGTTCTTGCCTCTGCCGTGTATGCATGCATGGCATTTACGAATGAGTAACACGAGGCTTTTAGAGAAATGTCACGAGTAATTATCCATTAATAAATAAACTATTCTGGAAAGTGAGTAAATTGCCGTGCTCATTGCACGTGCTTTTACGAAAGCTGTCGGGATGTCAAGGTCGCCAGAGAAACTCGCGCTCACACTAAACAATAATAGGAAAGCATGCAAATAGAGGTTTCTGCCTATGATAGGACCCGGGGGACTTGTTAAAAGGATAAGCAGCACATGGTGTTGCAGGCTCAGAACTTGTAAGGCTAGGCAGTTCCACGATATCGGCGATACGAAAGATGTGAGCGATCATTATAATAGTCAAAAGGGTTTTTTACTTGCGCAAGGGAGAAATGCTCACAAAGTGCCACGGTGTCTGATGTACAAAGATGGGTTTATTTTTTTCATCCACGCTGGGATGTTGGTGGTAGTTAATTGAGTTTTGTCTGTGTCAAACCATTGCCTTGTTCCATAAATAAGCCATGTCCTCTTAAAAACGCTCTAATTACTTTCGAAATGTCACCCCGTATGTATAAATAAATATTCTGATTATATTAGGTGACTTGGAACCGTTTTACTTGTGAAGTTGCCTAATTCGTGGCACCGCCTGGCTTCATCTAACGTAGTCGGTTTGGTGTCACATGTTTAGGAGTAATAGAAGTCGTGCGTCAGTAGCACATCGTTAGACCGGGCTCGCGTGCAGTGAAAGCGGCATAAATAGAAGGCTGTGGATGCATCATTCCCCGTGCCCTTGCGATATTCTTGTATTTTCCATCGATGCAGACGTCACGTTACAGATTACGGGGGGTGGGGGCCAGTGGGATTTCCAAATAGGAGGTCGCTAGCTGCATGTACCGTGTGTGTAACTGAACCCTGTTAACACGGCAACGGAGTGTTTGGAATATACCGAGGTGCACCGCAGCAACTTGCACGGCAACACACCTTCCGCTGGGTGTGTTCAAGGTGCCCTACTGTTTAAAAGGGAGTTAAATGGAGTTGTCTTGTGAGGCATTTTTAGTCGTTGGAATTAAAAATTTTTGATTACCCAGGAAACCCTGACTTGAGTTTTAATAATCTTTTTCGCACGGTGGTCGTGCGTGGAGTTAATTGGCCACCCACTAGAGTTTTGCAGTAGAGGGGGGTGTTCTTAGTTTGGATTTGTCTAATTTTACCCTTTCCCGTATCGATTACCTATATGTACGTCATCAGTTTTTTTTCCCAATTCCGTTCAAATGACGTACATGTACTTAATGAAAACGAAACCGGAAGGAAAACTAAAATAAAATAACTTTATCGGTACCGAGGCTTCCACAAGGCCATGCGGCGGGAGGGCGTGTGGCACAGTTTGGCTCCAGCTAGCATAGTGCGGTCTTGTCGCTACCGTTCTCTGCGATGACTACAATGTCTTTCAAAACAACGGCGCTATGCTTCTCTAAATAAAATTAACGCTGAGCCACTCGCGCGTTCCGAGATTCAGAGATGAATGGGGGACCCAACCTGAAACTTGCAGTTTTCTCGGAACGGGAAAGGGTTGAGTAGGCTTGTACCTGGATCGTGCGTGGGATGGGTGGCCATTATGCTTAAGACTGGTGTTGTGGGATTTCTTTGGGCGAAATGGGCTTTCTTTTGGCGAAATGGTTGGCGGCAGAGGGCAGTGCAGGAAAATTCACCAACCCCCACTGACCCCAATTATAGTTGAATAACCCCCACAAGCAGCGTTAATTACATTTCCACCTGCCGTTTGTTGAACTTGACGCTACTCCGGAGCCTGGGTGTATCGATGTTATGTGCTCTCTTTTTATATATATGTTTTAATCTGTGCTCATGCGAGTACTGCACATGAAACAAATGGCGATACATAACAATACAAATAGGAACGGGTCATTTAATTTTATGCGGCATCATTCATGCGAGTTGCATTTCAAAAACACCTCAACGTTGCGAACCGCATTTTGATCTAAACGGGGAGGGGGGGGGGGCGAAACAAGACGACGACGGTGAAACAACACACGCGAGGCAGAGGGCACGGAGCAAAACGTCACACGGGCTGTGCGGGGCGACCAGCAGACGCTCCCTATTTGCCTGCACCCCACCAACGTAATGGACAGGCGCAGCTTCGTCCTTTAATTGGCGACTCGTCTTTGACCTTGAGTTTAGAAGTTTGCACGGTCCACGTGACGAGCAGAGAGACTGTGAAAGGATGCTGTGCGTTCCTTTGCACTGCAGGAGGGCTTGGCGCAATCCTTGGGTCGGAAGTTATATTAAGGAAACAAGACATTTGCTGCTTTAATTATAGTGCTGAAAGGAGCCTGCCAATGTTCCTCTGTCCCGCGTCTTGCTGGTGATGTTTAACAGTCCCGCATCGTGAGTATCGCCTTGCCTGTGTGTGCGTGTATGTGTGCGCTTCTCCGTGGTATTCCGGCGGATTTGTTACTGTTGCCCTGTTATTTTTAATGGTTTATTTTTACGAGCTGCTGGATAACCCCAGGTTACAATATCCCCTCGGCCCAATTGGCTTGAGTTTTGTCTCTGCTGCTGTGTATGTTCTGTTTCAAACGGAAAAAACAACTGGAACTGTCCATCTTCTGCATCGCTCGTGCTATTCATACTCATGCTTTTTTTTGCCCTAATAACTACATTCATAACCATCATCTAGCCAGAGTTGTTTACAACCTTCTCCCCATTGACTTCCGGACATGGTCTAAAAACACATAACAACGTCTGTCTCCACTCGCCATCATCACAGTTGGAACAAAAATAATCCAGCTATGCATCTCACGCTGAGAATCCTAGCTTTTTCTGTGTTGTGAAAGACGAGGGCGTTAGAAAGGTATTTGAAAATAACAGGTGTCCTTTGTTACGGGTTTTTATTTGGCAGGTCCTCGTAGTTGTTTTTGCCATGCATCCGTAACACACATGGGGAAACGTTTACCGAGACCAACGCTTGGAAAATAATCCCCCAGGGGTGACCGTGGGATGGCTCGGAGGTCTTTGGCACTGAGTTGGCACCACCGAGATCCGGAGTTCAAACCCAGATAGCCACCTGAGATTTTAAACCAGGTTCTGAATTGATTGTCAGCCTGGTCACCATCGACTGGGCTGACACACACAAACTTATTTCATCACGTGAACTATGTTCTGCACTTAATTTGGCTAAATAACAGCTCTGAGAATTACAATTATCGGTTTAATGAATGGGACAAACATGATTCTTGGTGGCAGAGCTGGTTGTTAATTGCTGCCCCCAACTATGTGAACCAGAGATCGCTTAAAGAGATATAGGCGCTCTGATGTCGGCTTCCGTGGGTCGTTCTCCAACGCGAAGGGTAGCACTGCTCTGTGACTAATCCCAATGGAATCTTCATCACATGACACCAATACCTGCCAATCGCAATTAAGTGACGGTGATGTCACCACAGCGCTTGTGCCAGGCCAGGTGCACTTTGAGGCCACGTGAAGTGTCAAAGGCTCGCTCGGTAGGAGCTCACAGGACAGACCCAGCAGGTACCATGGGTTGGCTGACTGAGATGTCTGCCAGATACACCAGCTGTACCTCCTGCTGGGCCAATTTTCTGCATTTTACCCGCTTGGCACTCTGCTCGTTGTTGTGAGCATCGCTCCTCTGCTCTTCGTTGTTGGAGGGCGACTGTCTCCGACTGCCCATTAGCGTCCTTTACGATCCTCTTCCACAGAGGCCGATCTTGATACTGCTGTACCAGTCTTCGGCAAGTCCACTCAGCTCCACATCCTCCCATACCGCATCAGTCCATCTCTTCTCCAGCCTGTGTCGTACCCGTTTAGCCCCCTCTATTCGGCCGAACAGAAGCTGCTTGGGCATGCAGGCTACATGACACGAAGCTGATGGCACATTCAGCTTTAACCTTTCGGAAAAAAGAGATTAAAAATAAATTCCTGTAATCGGCCAATGCCAAACACCAGATTACAGGATTGCTTTGCTGCAATCGTCCTGTTTTCCACCAGCCTCCCAGCTGCTTGTGGGCATTACCAAAAAAAAAGCTTGTTTATCTGAAGTGTTTAATGTGTTTATTTGTCTTGTGCTTTTTTTCAGGCAAACCATTGACTTCCTCAGCAACGAGGGCCATATTTACTCGACGATTGATGACGACCACTTCAGGTCGACCGAGGTGGATTGAGGACAACAACAAAGTTTTGCGGCTGGCCTTCTCTCGCCACCACCCTTCCTGCCCGGCGTGTTGACGTTACGGGGGACGTGTAACTTACTTACAGGCGTTGGACACTTATTTTACCGCCTTCCCCCAAGACAGTTGCTTTTATTTGAGACAAAAATAATTCACCCTCCATCATACAGGACTTGTAGTGTTGGCGTTTGCAAATGCATTTGCCACGACCGGCAGATTTGCAGGTTTAACATCACCATTGTGATTTCGAGGTGGCAACGGACGTTGCTGGCACAAGTGGTCAGGCACGTTGAAGAGAGAGCGAGGTATTTTTTTTGTCTCGCCTGGTTTCCGCTTAGTTAACGTTTTTTCTAGGCAGGGACCTTTTTCCAGGGCTCAGTAGGTTGTGTTCAGTTTCTTTATCATCACAAAGCCTATGATCCAAATCTGGAATGCACCCGCCCGATCTCGTCAGAGACCATCATGCAGGTGTTGTCATTAGAGGGCAGTGCAGCAAAATCTAATGTTGTGCTGTACTTTTATGCTCCCATGTCTCTGTTACCCATTGTCTACACTAACCAGCCTGGTGAAGTCCGGTCAAATTATCCACGCAACCCGCACAGCAGCGCTTGGAGGAGGCTGTCATCTAACAGTGGATTGACAAAGGGCTGTAATCTGTAAAACTGTAGTAACCCAATTTGGACCATGATATCAGATGCTGTCCCTCCTCTCCACATGGCATATACATTGAGACCTTTATCCATAGCCAGGGTTGCCACCTGTCCCTAGTTTTCCTATCAGTTGCGTAATAATACCCCTCTTGCCTTGTAGTGTCAGCAAGTGGTTCTTTAACAGTCACTGGTCTCTTGCCCAAATGAGCACGGAGGTCTTGCTCGGCTCCTATTTACAGGTCTGAACCAGTGATGGAAATTCCACATTTATGTGGGCGTTGGGGGGGGGGGGGGTCTCTCCAAAGGAGCACCACTGTTTACTTACCCCCAAAGTGGTACCTACCCAATCAGGGTTGGAACTCGCAACCTTCCAAACGTGAGCCGCTCGCTATACTGCTGAGCCACCTGCCCGAAGTCGACAATGACGCCTGTGACTCGGAGCCATTCTGAGGCACCATACAATTTTATTGGGTTGCTTTTTTTGGGTGTGGGCTCTGTGCCCATGTGTTTTTTTTCCCACCAGATATAAGATGGAGCAAAAGCGACCGTGAATCCACCACGACAGAGCACTATTAACGTGCATCCTTAAGTCGTGTGAAGCTCACCTCATTGAATTTGGCCAAACACCCCAATAAGAGAGACTGACACTTTGATTTGATTATTAGCGTTCAGTGCTAATCCTTGGACTTTAATTTAAGAACCCCGCCCATGCACGACTTTTGCTCCAGATAAAACTCGAGACAAATCAAGAACCTTAATTCGCAATTGAAAATTGGATCATTCCGTTTTAAGTTTGACGACGATGTCTTGCCTCGTTTAGTTACCGGTCATGTGCCGCTGTATACGTTTGTAGTAATCTGTTTGCCTTTTTCTTTAAAGGGAAGTCGTTTATTTCATGTTGCCGGATGGGGTTCTGCGTGTCGCCAAATGGCTTCAGCGAGCACGGTAAACTTTGGCGCTGCGTCTGTGTGACGGGAAGGGCTTGCGGCTTGCGTCTGCCCGTGTACAACGGGTGCAGTGCCTCCATTGGCTATGAATGTGTCAGCTGAATGGTGGCCAAGTCGAGCCCCATAATAACAAATTTAAAAGCTGTCACTCGCAAATGCCTCTAGGCTTAGCGTCACGGATTCCGTTTCGAGCTGCGTGACCCCCGTGTGTTTTAGTATTCGTGGGTTTTGCATTTGCGATGCCAGGGCCAGAATTAGCTTGTTTTCTTCCCATGTCTGTTATTTTTTTGTGCGTTGCGGATGTTTTTCACGTTGCGTTTGAATAAAGTTACGTTTATGATGAAATGTCAACGTTATTGGATTGTGGTTTTCAGACGTGTCTGTTAAGGACTCTTGCCTTACGTGATGCAGAACCTTCGTGTGATTGGATACAAAAATCTTACATGTCTGATGAAGACCAAGATGAATAGGTCATCACGGTGAATGCCATGTACTCCACTACACCTGTCTGTTGCTTCATACTGCTAAAATGCCACAGCCATAGCACAGTTGACACCTGACCTCCGAGCCCTGCACCGTCTCCCACTGGTCTGGCTTTAGGTCTTTCCTTTGTCCACTGACCTCTGAATAAAACTCCAATGCCTGTGTCCAACCTGCTTGCAATCCTGCACACACGTCACCCTCTTGAAGCCTCTTCAGCGCTTTCATTCCACGTTCTGTTATGGATTTTCAAATTGTTCATTATATTCTCCCATAGGATCCTTAATATCCTCGTGCCCTGTTAACTTAATAGGTATCATGATCTTACAGCCTACTATATATTAAAACTTCCACCGTAATACAAGAACTCTACAACCTCCACCATCTCATTTCCCATCGACGCCTGTGATGATTATGCTGAACTCGTCCCTAGCAACTACCATCAACTTCTTCTGGGAGCACACTTTAAGGCACCATTGTCCAGTCTCGTTCTCTGTGACTGCTAAACTTTTCAAATGCCCCGGCCACGGTTATAATTAATAAACCTGCATCTACCAAAAAAATACAAACAACTATAGTTCTGTTAAGGTTTCAAATATTGGCTTCTATATTGTTGGCCAATTTTTCTCAATTATAACACTAAATATGCATTGAACATACAATAACGTTTTGCTGGCTGAGTCCATCTGCCATGACCGGTCTAAAGAAGTTGTTGGGGTCGACTTGGTCATGACACTTTGCTTGAGCCCAGTTTCGTGAGTCGGTTGTGGATTAAGCCCGTCCAGTCTCCGACATTGAGCCGATTGTGAGTAGCTGATGTAAATTGTACGCATGTTTCCTAAGGGCCTGAAAGCTGACATTTCAAACAGGAATGGTCGAGTTATTTTGCTGATACTGTAATAAAAAAAGCAAAATGTCCACATTTAACCTCCAAAAACTACTGCCCATGGATTGGTTGGTTCACTCATAGGTCAGGGTCGGCCCACAGTTTACTGTTGTAACATACTGGACATGTGAAACAATAGCTTCATTGCTCATCGGATTCCTCCAGTCCAAATACACATTTTCATCCTGATACAGTTCTTAACGTCTGATGGGAAGCTCTTGTAAACACATTCCTGCGGAGGGAGCTGGTAGGAACGTTGGGTTGCTCAGTCAATGGCCAGGGTCAACGGCGGCGTGGTGTATTTCGCAAATATGCCCGACTGTGAGGGCGGGCACAAGCCGGCGTGAGTAGGTTAAATGTTGAGTTTTATAAGGGCACCACGGGGTGACCAGCCCCTCCCCACCCAGCCCCACCCAGCCCCTCCCTACCCTCTCCACCCAGCCCCACCCCTCCCAGTGGACAGACATCCACAGACATACAAAATTAATCCCCTGCCTCCTGTCAATCCCGGTTTGGCTTCCAGTCCATATAAGGGCACCACGGGGTGATCAGCCCCACCCAGCCCCACCCCACCCAGCCCCCACCCAGCCCTACCCTCCCCACCCAGCCTCTGGTAACACCATCATAGCCAACCGATATTAACACGGTTGGCTATGTACGGTGCGAAAAAAAGGTTCAACATACGAGAGATAAAGGTGCAGGCCTGCCATTGTTTGCTCACGCAACTGCCGGCAGAAGGGCTTGCACGAGAGAGGGAGCTGCTACCATAGAGGGTATTTGGCCTACTCTTCCCATGCTGACCAGATGTCTTGTAAGAGGTGGGTGGTACCCACACTTTACCCCACCACACGCAACTTGCTGACGATCACTCAACCGTGGTGTTTCCCCACTTAAACCGCTGGGTGGACAGAGGCAGGCAGACAGGCTGATTTAAGAAACATTCCACATTGTACCTGTACAGTCGTATTCAACCAGATCTTTGCGTTGTCTTGCCTATTGGCTTTATTTTGGTCCGACACTGGTGAAGCAAGACCATCAACTATCGTCTGTTTCTTGTGTAGGTCAATCAGTTTCAATTACAATGTATGTATTATCAAAGCATATTTGCGTGCATGTTTTACCAAGTGTGTGTGGTTAATGCAGACTTGATGCCTTGCGAGGGGTGTCTTTGGTTTTCGAACATCTTTAACACCTATTATATTATTACCGGCGTGCTAAGCGTTCCACCACGGTAGCGTCCCTTCTAAACGAAACTATTTTTGTTTGTTGTCAGCTAAGGCCCCCTGAGCTATATGGCTCTTTTTCAGAAGCGACCTGGTCACATTCAACAGTTCAACGAGGTGACTTATCACATGGAAATGTACAGTAGCAGCCGCATGTCGATTCTAAATGTGTCGGGGAAAACCGGAGAAAGATCCATACGACCACTGGGGAGAGAGACACCGCAAACTTCCAATCTACCCATAACAGAGGTTTGTTTGCCTTAGATTGCTAAAATATAAATGTCTCATCAAAATGATTAGACCTCCTTTGCCAGTACCAAAATTTAATAATAGGGTTTTTCTGCTTTTTTCTGGCAACAACTGAATCCGTTTTTTCACAAGCATTCATGTCTGCATTAACCACAATACCTGCAGTCAAAATGCAAACATAAAACATAATATGATAATATATGCATTGTCCTTGAAACTGATTGGTCCACACCAAGGGACGGCTTTCTTTTGAGCCTCGACCTAATTGGTGCTCGACCAGATGACGCCAAAAGGCGTCACACAGCTCAAAGACAATGCACTATCAAAGTAATGAGGGCTCGGGGTGAGCATCTACATCATTAGACCTCCTTTGCCAGTACCAAAATGTAATCATAGGGATTTTCCCCTTTTTTCTGGCAACAAAACTGAAACCTTTTTTTAAAAGGATTCATGTCTGCATTAACCACAATACCTGCAGTCAAAATGCAAACAAAAAACATACTATGACATACTATGATAATAGTAGTATACTTGTACAGCAGCACACCGGTGTTGTTGGAGAGTAAACCCACTACAACATTTACACTTATAGTGTAGTGTATAGTGTAGTGTATAGTGTAGTATACTAGTACAGCGGCACACCGGTATTGTTGAAGAGTAAACCCACTGCAACATTTACAATTATAGTGTAGTGTATAGTGTAGTGTATAGTGTAGTATACTAGTACAACAGCACACCGGTGTTGTTGGAGAGTAAACCCACTACAAACATTTACAATTATAGTGTAGTGTATAGTGTAGTGTATAGTGTAGTGTATAGTGTAGTATACTAGTACAGCAGCACACCGGTGTTGTTGAAGAGTAAACCCACTACAAACATTTACAATTATAGTGTAGTGTATAGTGTAGTGTATAGTGTAGTATACTAGTACAGCAGCACACCGGTGTTGTTGGAGAGTAAACCCACTACAAACATTTACAATTATAGTGTAGTGTATAGTGTAGTGTATAGTGTAGTATACTAGTACAGCAGCACACCGGTGTTGTTGGAGAGTAAACCCACTACAAACATTTGCAATTATAGTGTAGTGTATAGTGTAGTATATAGTGTAGTATACTAGTACAGCAGCACACCGGTGTTGTTGGAGAGTAAACCCACTACAAACATTTGCAATTATAGTGTATAGTGTAGTGTATAGTGTAGTATACTAGTACAGCAGCACACCGGTGTTGTTGGAGAGTAAACCCACTACAAACATTTGCAATTATAGTGTAGGGTATAGTGTAGTGTATAGTGTTGTATACTAGTACAGCAGCACACCGGTGTTGTTGGAGAGTAAACCCACTACAAACATTTTCAATTATAGTGTAGTGTATAGTGTAGTATATAGTGTAGTATACTAGTACAGCAGCACACCGGTGTTGTTGGAGAGTAAACCCACTACAACATTTACACTTATAGTGTAGTGTATAGTGTAGTGTATAGTGTAGTATACTAGTACAGCAGCACACCGGTGTTGTTGGAGAGTAAACTCACTACAAACATTTGCAATTATAGTGTATAGTGTAGTGTATAGTGTAGTATACTAGTACAGCAGCACACCGGTGTTGTTGGAGAGTAAACCCACTACACACATTTGCAATTATAGTGTAGTGTAGTATATAGTGTAGTATACTAGTACAGCAGCACACCGGTGTTGTTGGAAAGTAAACCCACTACAAACATTTGCAATTATAGTGTATAGTGTAGTGTATAGTGTAGTATACTAGTACAGCAGCACACCGGTGTTGTTGGAGAGTAAACCCACTACAAACATTTGCAATTATAGTGTAGTGTATAGTGTAGTGTATAGTGTAGTATACTAGTACAGCAGCACACCGGTGTTGTTGGAGAGTAAACCCACTACAAACATTTGCAATTATAGTGTAGTGTATAGTGTAATGTATAGTGTAGTATACTAGTACAGCAGCACACCGGTGTTGTTGGAGAGTAAACCCACTACAAACATTTGCAATTATAGTGTAGTGTATAGCGTAATGTATAGTGTAGTATACTAGTACAGCAGCACACCGGTGTTGTTGAAGAGTAAACCCACTACAAACATTTGCAATTATAGTGTAGTGTATAGTGTAGTGTATAGTGTAGTATACTAGTACAGCAGCACACCGGTGTTGTTGGAGAGTAAACCCACGACAAACATTTACAATCATAGTGTAGTGTATAGTGTAGTGTATAGTGTAGTATACTAGTACAGCAGCACACCGGTGTTGTTGAAGAGTAAACCCACTACAAACATTTGCAATTATAGTGTAGTGTATAGTGTAGTGTATAGTGTAGTATACTAGTACAGCAGCACACCGGTGTTGTTGGAGAGTAAACCCACTACAAACATTTACAATTAAGGTGTAGTGTATAGTGTAGTGTATAGTGTAGTATACTAGTACAGCAGCACACCGGTGTTGTTGAAGAGTAAACCCACTACAAACATTTGCAATTATAGTGTAGTGTATAGT